CCTTTATGTTGTCTCCTTCTTTTTCATTAATCCCTATCATTCTTATGTTATTCTTCTTTGCATCATCTTGCAGTTGTTGAATTGTTATTTCCTGATTCCTTGTTATTTTTAAAAGATCTTTCCTTTCCTGTTCACTTGCTGCAATCCTGTCTTCAAGGTCTGAAATTCTGTCTTCACTTTCATTAAGGCGGTTTTTACAACTTTCAGTGGAGTTTTTTATTTCCTGTATATCTCTGTGCATCTGCATTATGTATTCTGTTTGTTTCTTATATTGCTCGTCTAGGGATTCTATCTTTTTGTTTAATTCCTCCAATTTTTTATCTGTGTTTTCTTTAGATATATTTAGAATCTCTTTCATTTCTTTTATCATTTCTTCTTTTATCTGAGAAATTATTTCGAGTTTGAATTTCTTTAAAGCTTCCTGGAGTTGCTTGTCAACTTCAGTAGCTATTGTGTCTAATATATGAGGAGGATGGGATATATTTTCTTCTAAATACACTTCTCCTAGGGTTTCCTGAGTTGGGCTGGAGGTTTGAGGTTGTAATTTGGTCTTTCGTTTTGTCATTTTCCTATATTTCTGTGTTTCAAGTGTTATTTGAAAGCCTCCTCAGGATCTGTTGAAAATCCCCTTCTATGTTTGCAGCTACTGAGACTCTGGCACCCCTCTACCCCAGGCCATTGGGCCTGCAGAACCAATGGCCCTTCTCTGCTTGATCAGAACTCCGCGGTTCCAGACAAGCTGGGCCTCAGGGACACTGTGCACCCACCTGCCCCTTGGTAGATCCACAGCTCTTGGATCGCAGCCGGGTTAGGGTACTCACCACAGACCGCAGTGCCTCAGGAGCCTGTGATCCCTCCCTGCTGGCAGAGATATCCACAAACCTCCAGACAAAGGAAGGGCCTCCTGCGGGCACTCCGGATCTACCCCGCTCCTCCTCTGCACGCAGATGGCTATGCGCGGCTGGGCTCAGGCCGAGGTGCCTCAGGAACCCGGGACCCCTCCTCCTCCAGACAAAGGAAGGGGCCTCTGCAGGCGGCTCCGGGTCCGCGCAGCTCCTCCTCCGCACACCGACGGCCAGGCGCGGCTGGGTACGGGCCGAGGTGCCCCAGGAACCCGGGACCCCTCCTCCTCCAGACAAAGGACGGGGGCCTCTGCAGGCGGCTCCGGGTCCGCGCAGCTCCTCCTCCGCACACAGACGGCCAGGCGCTGCTGGGTACGGGCCGAGGTGCCCCAGGAACCCGGGACCCCTCCTCCTCCAGACAAAGGACGGGGCCTCTGCAGGCGGCTCCGGGTCCGCGCAGCTCCTCCTCCGCTCACCGAAGGCCAGGCGCGGCTGGGTACGGGCCGAGGTGCCCCAGGAACCCGGGACCCCTCCTCCTCCAGACAAAGGACGGGGCCTCTGCAGGCGGCTCCGGGTCCGCGCAGCTCCTCCTCCGCTCACCGAAGGCCAGGCGCGGCTGGGTACGGGCCGAGGTGCCCCAGGAACCCGGGACCCCTCCTCCTCCAGACCCTTAATAGCTTTTAATATTCTGTTCTTATGATGCATTTCTGAAATCTTGACTAACACATGCCTGGCTATAGTTTTTTTTTTTTTTTTGGTCATGTATAATTGGAGTGTTATATGCCTCATATATCTGTATGTCAAATTGTTTTTCTCTATCAGGGAAGTTTTCCACCATGACGTCTCTAAACATTTTCTTGATGTCATTTGTGGTATCTCTTGCCTTTTTATTGACCACAGCCAATGTTAAATTATTATTTGTCTTTCCTAGCAGCTGCTGGATTGATTTCTCTTGGTCCCTTGCAATTTTTGAGAAATCTTTCCTTTCCAGGTCCCAAACTGCAAACTGTCTTCAATATCTGAGCTCTTATCCTCATACTGGCCTAATCTGCTTCCAGTACTTTCAATGGAGTTTTTAGTGTCCTGGATACCTGCTTGAATCTGCTTTATGGATTCCATTTCTTTCCTGTGCTGAGCTTCCATCATTTTCTTAAGTCTTTCTTTTTTTTTTTTTGTCTTTATCTGCTCTGCATCACTAAGCATGGTCCTTATTTTGGATATCATCTCTATAGTTATCTGAGAGATTATTTCTGATTTCATTTTTTCCAGAGCCTCATTGAATATTGAATTGCTTTGTTTTTACTGCTTCAGAGAGGCCCGGTGAGGCTTTCTGATTGTCTCACCTCATTGTCTCCTGGATTTGCCTTTGACAAATTCAATGTCTGGAGTTGCATTTTGTTTACATGTCCTTTTTTTTTGTTTTGTCTTTTCCTTTCTCTCTCTCTCTTTCATTTTTTAAGTTTAATTCCTAGGGTGATGCTTGTAAATTGTCAATGGTTGGTTGCTTTATTGCTAGTATTTAAGACCCTTAGGTGATGACTACTTATGAGGTATCTTCCAGGTGTAGCTGGTTTTTGGGTTTTGAGTTGGTTGGAAGATCTTACCTCTTCAGTTTGTTGGAGATGAGAAGTTGTTCATTTGGCCCAGTCCCTGATTTTTTGTGCCACAGTATGTTCTGTGACCCTTAGCGAATCTCAGTCATGGAATACCAGGACCAACAACTGTTTAGAATAACTTGCCAATTTTGGCTGTAGTGGTACCTATAGAATCAAATACAGCCTAGAAAATGACAAACTGAGCTAACCCTTAATTTTAACTGTAAAACTAGATTTGTGGTTATATAAAAAAATGTAAACAAACCAGAAAATCGTATACAGTATGCAATGATACGTCAGTTGACATGTCAGTTTGGCCTTGGGGTTTAAAATTTAGTATAGTTTTAGGAGAAGATAGAGTTGATAAAAGAGGAAGAGATTAGAAGTAAGGTTGCAGGACCAAGGGGCATCACTTTGGGAAACATAGAAAACTGGAAGGAAAAAAGCAAAGAAAGATTTGAAAAGAACAGACAGAGCCACAGGGAGGCTAGAAACCACATATACTTACATAAAAATAGGGTCAAACAAGGGAAAAAGAAAGAAAAAGAGAAAAAAACTAAAAATCAAAAACAAACATGAGAGAAAGGAAGGAGAAGACAGAAAAAATAAGTCTGCCTCTAGGTTTATCCAGGTCTGTGTCTGCTTTCACTGGCAGACAACCTTTGGATCTATCCCAGCAAGCCAGCATTAGCTTTTTGATGGGGAGTGGCTACTCTCAGTAAGCCTGCATTTTGTGATAAAGACTAGTCAGTCACCTTTTTAAATTTTATTTTTTATTTTTTTTATTTCGAAGAGAATAAAACCAAACCAAACCAAAGAGAATAGAATCGATCAAAACAAAATAAAATGAATGTGATACAGGACTTCAAAACAAGACAGTAGGAAATCAACAATGGCTACCATAAGCCCTCTTGTTATCTTCAAAGTAGCTGTCTTTATATAGCATCAGGCATGATAAAATGAAATAAAACAAAATAAAGTCAAATCAAAACAAAACAATGAAAGTGATACATGGCTTCAAAACAAAATAAGAGGGAATCAACAGTGGCTACCATAATATATCTTCTTGTCTTTAAAATAGCTGCCCATGCCATCAGATATAGTAGAATCAAAACAAAACAGAATAAAACCAAACAGAACAATGAAAGCTACACAAGGCTTCAAACCAAGATAATAGGAAATTAACAATGGCTACCTTTTCCTTTTTTTTGACGTTTCCCCCATTTTCACTTCCACAATATCTGTTACACATGTGATGAACCATTTCATCCATGAGCATGATCTCAGTTTACCTACAAGAGCCTCAAGGTTATTCTCCTTTATACCTGAGTTGCTTTCCATTGTATAAAAATGCCTTATCTTTCTTATCCATTCTGTGGTTGATGGGCAAGCTAGGCCTGCTTTTTTCTGGTTCTCTGTCACATGGAACATTGTTTTTCCCCCTTTGACTTTCATTCTGTAAATTTCCTTTTGAGTTAAATGTGTTTCTTGAATAAGGCATATTGGTGGATCTTGTCTCCTAATCCACTGTGCCTGTGTTTCTTTTTATTGATGAATTGAGGCCATCTACATTAATGGTTATGGCCAACATGTATTGCCTTGTCTCTGCCTTGCTCTTTTCTTGACTTGATGGTTTGTGTTGAGAAGTCTGTCTCACTGTCTTGTGAGCACCCTCCAGGGGTCTGAGCCCTGCTGGCAGCCACTAGAGGGAGCCAGCTGCAGTTCTGAGTTCTGTCTCAGGTTGCCCATCTCCAAGACAACCCCAGGCCAACTGTAACCTACTGGAAGAGTGAGACCCTTGAACGCACCAGCAGTCAGTGCAGTCCTTCCTTCGTGTCCCCTGCTCCCTCCCCTGCCTTGTCTCCAGGGTAACCAGCCATCACTGTTGTGGGAACGGGTTTGGCGAGTTACTGTTCTTCTTGTGCGTGAGTCTCTTCTCTGGGAGAAGGTGCTGCTGGCTCCCTCCTCCTTCACTCTCTCCAGGGGCTTCAGTCATGGTTCAGATTCTTCCTGGATCCGGGGCACCCATTTTCCTCCTTGTCTTCTCACACGTTGCTGTGTTTCAGCATCTGAACAGCAACTCTCAGGCACTTTCTCTGCTGCTTATTGCTTCGCTATTTTCTCAGACTCCTGTGTTTAATTTCTGAATTAATTTAAGATTTTTTCGTCTTCCCCAAAACCACTCTAATCGGATTACATGAGAGAAAAATTGACAATACTCAGTATCCCCATCCAAAAATTTGGTATTTCTCACTATATTCAAATGTTCCTTTTGTTTGGCAAGTCAGTATTGATGTTTTACTTTTTAAAGTCCTGTGTCTGCTTTAGTAAAACCACGTTTAGGTATTTTAACCCATTCATGTTACATTACTTAGAGTTGTTGCTGCATGTATTTTTTTTTTAGTACCTAGAGGTCTATTTTTTATTTTACATATAAGTCATCAGTATTTAATTACTTTTTCCTAGCTTGTGCATTATCTCTTTTTTCTTCCTGAAGATTGATTGCTGTTGTTTTAATAAAATTTACTTTTGTTCATTTTTTCCCCTATGCTTTGTAACTTAGGTAAAGACAGATAGTATAGCAAGAATTTACCAGCCTAAACGATATGCTTTGTCACCCAAGACGACCGTTACACTGGCACACCTGCTTGCTGCTCGTGAAGATCTATCGAAGATCATTAGAACAAGTAGTGGCATCAGTCGGGAAAAAACAGCATGTGCCATTAATAAGGTTAGTTTATCTCTCAGCATGGTTGAGAGTGAATTTATGATGTTTTTGTTTTGTGTCTTGATGAGCTAGAAAGAGTGGTGGAACATTTGTGTATGTTCATTTGAATTTCTGCATTCATAAACTGAATCAGTGCTTTATCTGAATTAAAGGAAAGTTTTTATTAGTAACTAGCAAAAAAATTTTTCTTCCTAATTTATAGTCATTTATTTGTCAGAATCTGAAACAGTTATTTCATTCACTGTCATTTGACTCTTTTTTTTGGCACCGGGATCAAACTCATGACCTCACGCTTGACAGGCAGGTGCTTACGTCACTGAGCTAAATCCCCAGCCCCTCTATTTTTGGTATAAAGGTAAAAATAGTACATGCTACCAAACTGGGTTCATATCCCAGCTCTGGCATTTATGTAGGGGAATTGCTTTCTTGGCAATTTAAGTGCAAGGTATTTGAATTTTTTAACATCTTACAGTAACAGTAATCTAGAATCTTAGCTTAACTAGCATGTCTTTTCCATAGAGGTAGAGCCCTCCACAGTAAACTTTTATTATAGAAGAGTAAAAAAGAAAAAAGTAAGGTCTATAGGTATTTTAAAAAACATTGTTTCTTGAACTTGAAATACAACTCAGTGGGAGAATCCTTACCTAGTAAACATGAGGCCTTCTGTTGTATCCCCCAGCACTACAAAAAAACAAACAAAACCAACATTGTTTCTTACTCAGTATAGCTTGAGACAAGGTGTTTGGCCAGAGAAGGCTGAGGTTTGAATCCAGGGTCTTACTGCTCTGCCACTGAACTATATATACCTTTAGCCTATAGGATGGTTGTTTTTCAGTCATTAGTTTGCTGATTATCACTAAATTAGATACCACTAGTATTTGCTTCTGTGCTTTCATTTTAAGTTAACCCCTCTTATGAAAGTGTTCTTTTTTTAATATGCTACTTAGTATATTGCATTGAATTACAATCTACATATATTTTTACTGGATCAAGTGTTGTGCTTCTATAAGTGATATTGTCCAGCTCTTTACTGAGAGTCTGATTATTTGAGAGTAATCTTATGATCAGCTCTTAAGCATAATCTTCATGTGCCCACCAACATGACTGGTGAGGTACTAGTGAGAATAACATTCAGGAAATTTGGTTAACGGGACATTATTGCTGACAGAATGTGTATGTACCTAGAACCTTGTTCCGGCTTGAAGTTGTACTACTTTATTTTGTTATGACTTAAAAGTCCTAAATACAATTTTGGTCAGTGGAAGTAGATGCCAAATGATTTTAAGTCATTTTTTTTGAGGAGCAAATACCTTGCCTTCATTCCTGAAAAGCACTAACAGGATGCTATTGTATTCCCTCTGGCTATGGGAGGCCATTGACTCCCTCCTCACAGTTATCAGTCAGTCTTTTACTCCTCCTTAAACTTAGGACCTTGCACTTGCCAGGCAGGTGCTGTGCCACTGAGCTGTATCCCTGGCCCGTACACTCATTTTCAGTATTCATATAGCCATATCAAGTATTTCATGTTGTTAAATATTTGGCTTCTGTGTCTTTTAACCAATAATTGTATTATAATTTGGAGTTTTCATATAAATTTTAGTTTTTAAAATACTAGAAACTGAAAGAGAATGTTCCTTTATACAGGTGCTGATGGGAAGAGTCCCTGACAGGGGAGGACGGCCGAATGAGATTGAACCACCACCCCCTGAAATGCCCCCTTGGCAAAAGAGACAAGAAGGCGGCGGAAGGGGCGGATGGGGTGGTGGTGGTGGTGGTGGGAGAGGCGGTGGGGGGGGAGGAAGAGGAGGTGGCTGGGGAGGAGGGAGGGGTGGGGGAGGAGGGTGGGGAGGAGGTGGAGGGGCAGGTGGTGGAGGAGGCGGGGGTAGAGGAGGTTTCCAAGGAAGGGGTGATTATGGTGGCAGAGGGGGCTATGGTGGAAGAGGAGGGGGCTATGGTGGAAGAGGCTATGGAGATCCATATGGAGGAGGAGGAGGAGGAGGTGGTGGTGGGGGGTACAGGAGATACTAGAAATGCAAACATTATATAGTTGTACGTACTTCTTGTTAGATACATTAGGCATTGTGTCCCAAATAACGTACTTGAATGTCACCTTTGAAGTAAACACCATGTTAGATTCCCTGATAATATCATTCTTAAATCAATATGTATGAAGGTTTTATACTAACCAGTTGATCTCTGAAAGGGATGACTTTTTCCATATTCTGTGTACTCTTAAGCATGTTGTCTTTTTAAAAAAGCAAGATGAACAAAAATTATTTTTAAAAATGTAAATATTTATTACCATCAAACTTGGAAAATGGAAAGTATTTTATTGTCATGATTGAATTTAGGCTGTTACCTGTATTTTGTTCAGGGTTGAAACATATAAATGACCTGACCTGTGGTAGAAAGAAATATAGACTCTTGTCTCATCTCTATTCCTGTGGATGCTTTAAAATTCGTTAATTCAGTTTTACAAAATAGAGGGAAAGACTGATAGTTGTGTTCAGTAGGTGCTTTTCATAGGGAGAAAATCCTTTGGTCAGGTTTCTGTTAAAGTTGAAGCCAAATTATTCTTTTTGCCATGCATATTTGATTTATTTTCCAGTTGGATTTGAAACCCATAGGATGTTGACTGAAAAATTAAAAATGAGGTCAGAATTAAAGGGATAAAATGTATGTATCAATTTTACATAGTGGTGTTAAAAAGAATTCCTATAAACTGGTCTCTTCATCATTTGCACCCTCACTTCTGATAAACAAATATTAAAAAGCAGGCTGACCTGTATCATACAGAATTAAGCAGTGATTTCCAGCTTAAATAGTACATCATGGGTAGAGCTAAGGCATCCATTAATAATTCTGATTCACAGCTAAATTTGGGAGACACAGTATTAGGGAATGGCTGTATGGGTTTTTGGGATCAAGAGCTGTAAATTTGAATTATGGTGCCAAGCCAGGGTTGAAATGACCTTAGCTACCAAAGATTGATTCGCCTTCATTTGTCCAATGAGGAATGAGACACACATCCTCTGCTCACTTCTTTTCAAATGCAATTCATTGAAAATTTATACAGCACCTATTGGTTGAATAGTGTGGAGTCAGAAAGGGTTGATCATACTGATTTTTTTTTCTAATTTTTTAATGGAAAAAAGTAAAACAAAATTTAATAATAAAATGAGAATAACAATAGTTAATACGTTCCTATTATTTAAAGTATTTACTCAGTATAAGACATGGACATAAAAATTTCTCCATCAATATTAGCACAAACCTTCCTTTTCAATGAATAAGAGATACAAATAATATAACAAACTTGCATTTTTTTCTTTTTTCTTTCTTCCATCTTAGTTCCTTTTTCTTTTTGAACAGTTTCTTTCCATTTCACAATATCTGTTATACATTTTAAACCTTATTTACTTTCAGATTCTCATACCAAGGAGACAATATGATGTTTAAGCATGTGAGTTTGATTTATTTAATTTATGAGTGTTGTCTCTAGTTACATTCATTTACCTATAAAAGTCTTAAGCTTATCCTTCTTAATGGCTGAATAGTGCTTTATTGTATAAAAAAGACCTCATCTTTTTTATCCATTCTTTGATAGGCATTTGAGTTTTTCCAATATTTAGCTATTACAAACTGTGCTGCTATAAACATGGATACACATACATCACTGAGGTATGATATCTTCTGGGAAGACATCCAGAAGGTGAATAGTTTGGTTAAATGGGACTTTTAATCCTAGCTGTTGGAGGAATCTCCACACTGATTTCCACAGTGGTTGCACCAGTTTGTACTACTATCAAGAGTAGAAAAGGGGAAAAAAAAAAAAAAAAAAAAAAAGAGTAGAAAAGGGTTCCTTTTTTCCTACAGCCCTGCCAGCATTTATTACTGGTTGATTTCTTGATGATAGCCATTCTTTCTGGAGTGAGATGGAGTCTTAGTTTTGTTTTTGCATCTCATGAATGACTGATGAAGTCAAACATTTTTTCATATATTTATTTCCCAATTGAATTTCTTCACCTAAGAATTGTGTATTCATCTCAGATACCCTTTTTTGGATTGAGTCTTTGAATTTTGGGTGTGTGGGGTCCCCCCCCACCCAGTTCTTTTATGTTCTAGATAGAAGCCCTTTGTCTGAGGGACAGTTGGCTAAAATTGATTCCCACTCTATGGGTTGTCTTTTCACTCTGCTGATGACTTCTTTTGTTGTGTAAAAGCTTTTCAATAAGATGAGACTTCAGTTGATTCTTTCAAGTGTTTCCTATGTAGTCTGAGTTTTGTTCATGAACTCTGCCTACACTTACCTTTTCAAATTTATATCTACTTTCTTCAGTAATTTAGTTTTTCTGTTTTAATATTTAGATCTTTGATCCATTTTGATTTAGTGCATGATGATAGACATAGGTCTGGTTTTAATCTTTGACATCTAGAGAACCCAGTTTTTCCAGTACCATTTATTAAAGAGGCTATCTTTCTTCCAGTGAACATGTTTGCTCCCTTTGTCAAAGATAGGGTGCTGGGAGTGTGTTTGTAGTTGTGTCTCCATCTTCTAATCTGTTCTGCTGAGCCTCAGGGATGTGTGTGTGTGTGTGTGTGTGTGTGTGTGTATCATGCTGATGTTATCACAGTAGCTTTGTAGTATAATTTCATGTCAGGGACTGATAAGCCCTCTACCTTGCCTTCATTGTCTAGAATTACTTTTGCTATTCTAGGTCTCTTCTGTTTTTAAGTGAATTTCAGGAATGGTTTCTGTAGCTCAGTGAAGTATGTTAATGATATTTTGATCATGATTGCATTAAATCTGTATAACAATTTGGGGAGTATAGCATTTTTCACCATGTTGCTTTTTATCTGTGAGCAAGGGATATCTTTCCATTTTCTGATTTCTTCAGTTTCCTTTTTAAGAGTAGTATAATTTTCTTTTTTTTTTTTTTATTTAAGAGGAAAAAGAGAAAAACACAAAACAAACGAAAGCGGTGTAAGGGTACACGTAATACAGAACTACAAAAAAAAAAAACATAACAGTAAGAAATCACCTGTTAGTAGATTACATATTATCATCTTGAAAATAGTTCCTCAAATCACAGTATCAAAGAATACAAGGTGGACACTCAAACAGGGAGACTGCAAACAGCTGTGTTCAATGATCCAAAAACATTGATATAGTCAGCTATTCAACACCCCTAAACACACTCACTGTTATATCCGTTAGAGCTCTTTTTCTTTTTTTTTTTTTTTTTCCCTCTCTTTTTTACAACAAAATTTACACATTTTGGATTTTATTACTCCTTAGTGCTTATTACTTTTTTTGGGGGGGGGGGAGAATACAGTCAAATATGGCAAAACAAAGCTGTCAGTCAATACCAAGGATAGACATAGCACATGGTGTAGAACAGAGTACAAGTTTATCAACAATGGTTATCAACGTTGTTCCTTGTTTCCTTAAAAAGAATTGTCTATCTCATTAGATATTATAAAGTTGGACAAAACAGTAGAGAACAAGACCAATAAAACTTAGGCGTTGTAAACATTACAGGACTTCCAAAGAAGACAATAGTCAAACCAGAATGGGTATCTTAGTGAATCTTATTGTCTTCAAAGTAGTTGCCTATGTCTTCAAACTTGATACTATCATATAGAATGGAACAGAGTCTAATCAGTCAAAACAAGATCGTGGGAGTACTACAGGACTTCAAAACAAGTTAATAGGAAATCAAAAAGAGTTACTATTTATATATCCTAATTTTTTGAATTTTTTCTTTAATTAAGACAAATTTAAGAAAATGACTAAATAATTTTTTTAAAACAATAAGGGGGAGATTGAGATAAAACAGGACATAACAATATAACAATAGAGGACACAGCATGACTGTTTCAACAACCTAGTAAGAGTAGTATAATTTTCAATAAATAGATATTTTACTTCCTTTGTTAGATTGGTTCCTTAAGTTTTTAATTTTTTTGAATGTGATTATCTGGTTTCCCTAATTTCTCTTTCAGTGAATTTATTGTTTGTCTACAGGAATGTTACTGATTTTTGAGTGTTGACTTTGTATCCCACCAAACAACTGAATTCAGTTATTAAATCTTCAAGGCTTTTGGTGGAGTTTTTGGGGTATTCTATCTAGAGTATTGTGTCATCTGGGAATAATAATTTGACTTCTTCTATATTGTTATGCCATTTCTCTTGTCTGATTGTTCTGGCTAATGTTTTTAGAACTATATTGAATAGGAGTGGTTATAGTAGACATAGTTGCTTCATTTTAAAATGAAAGCTTTCAGATTTTGTCCATTTAGTATGATGCTGGCTGTTGGCTTATCATAGATGGCTTTTACTGAGATTTAGATAAAGACTATCTGTTCTGATTTTCTGTAGGGTTTTTGTCATGAATGAGTGTTAACTTTGTTGCAAGTTTTTTTTTTTTTTCCTGCATCTATTGTGGTCATGTGATTTTTGGTTTTGGCTCTGTCGATATGGTATGTTACATTTATTGATTTACATGTGTTGAGCCATCCCTGCATTCCTGGTCATAGTGAATAATTGGTCATAGTGAATAATGTTCTTTGTGATTTGCTACATTTTGTTTGCTAGTATCTTTTTGAGGATTTTTGTATTTATGTTCATTAGGGATATTGGCCTGTAGTTCTCTTTTATGATTGGGTCTTTCTCTGGTTTTGATATCAGGATAATACTTGCCTATAAGAATGAATTACAGAATACTATTTCCTTTTCAGTTTCATTAAAGAATCTGAGGAGTATGGGCAATAAATTTTCTCTAAATTTCTTGTAGAATTCAGCAGTGAATCCATCAGAACTTGGGCTTTTCTTTGTTGGTAAGTTTTTAATTACAGTTAATTTCATTAACTGCTTCTTGGTATTCAGAATTTTTATATCTTGATTCACCTTGGGTAATTCATGTGTATCTGGAATCTGTCCATTTCTTCTGTTTTCCATTTCATTACAGTAAAGATTCACAAAGTAGGTACTGATAATCTTCTATATTTCCACAGAATCTATAGTAATTTCATACTTTTAATTTGTTACATGAATTTGAGCCTTTTCTTTCCTTTTTTTTGATAAGGTTAATTAAGAGCTTGTCAGTTTTATTTAATCTTTTAAAGAATCAGCTCTTTTGTTCTTTGATTCTTTATATTGTTTTCTTAGTCTTTTTTTTTTTTTTTTTTTAATTGGTACCAGGGATTGAACTCACAACTGCCTACTTGCAAGGCAGGTTCTTATGCTGCTGAGCTAAATCCCTAGCCTGTTTTTTTAGTCTTAATTGCATTAATTTCTGTTTAGACCTTTGTAATTTCTTCCCTTGTATATATGGGCTTTTGGCTTGACTTGATCTTCTTTTCCTAGAAGCTTGAAATACAATGTTAGATTATTTATATTCATTGTTTTTCTAATATGAGAGTTGATTGCTATAAATTTCCTTCTTAGGACTGCAGGTTCTGATATCTTATATCTGCATTTTTGTTCAATTGTAGGTATCTAATTTCTCTTTATCTATGACCCATTGGTTATTCAGGAGGTTATTTAATTTCCATGTATTTATGGAGTTTTTATTGTTTCTTTTGCCATTGATTTCCAGTTTAATTACTTTATGGTCAGATAATATACGTGGGATAATTTCATTTCCTTTGCATTTACTTAAGCATGTTCTATTAGCTGGTATATGATCTGTTTTAGAGAATAGCTCATACATTGCTGAGAATATCTATTCTGATGCTGGGTGGAACACCCTGTAAACATGTCCATTTATTCACAGGTTTGGTTCAGTGCTGATATTCTTATTCTGACCTTTTATCAGGTTCATCTATCTGTTTGTGGCAGTGGGGTATTAAGGTCGTCCTCCATTACAATTTTGTTACTGCTTATTTGATTTTTCATATCTTTTAGGATTTGTTTTATACAGTTGATTGTTCCTGCATTTGGTTCATACGTATTTATGATTATCTTTTGAAGTTTTCCCCTACAAATACGTGGTGAACTTCTTTATCTCTTTTGATTATTCTTGGTTTGAAGTTCACACGTATCTAAACAGAACAGCTACTCTTTTTTTTGGGTTCCTGTAGCATGGAGGTTGTTTTGCCTCCTTTGACTCTCAATCTGTGAATTTCTTTTGGAGTTAAATGTGTATGCAGCATATTATTGGATCCTGTTTCTTGATCCATTTTCCCAGTCTTTTTTGGCTGGTAAATTGAGGCTATTTACATTGATGCTTACAACTGGTTTATCTTTGTCATTTTATTTTCTGCTGATGTTCCTAGCTTTTACCTTGTGTTTAATGCTTGTCCTTCCTGATGGTTTGTTTCTGTTTTTGTTCTTGGAATTGTGGTCATTTTTTATGTGTCTAGAATATCTTTCAGTATCCCCTGTAAGGTTGGTTTGTTCATGAATTTCTTCAGTTGTCATGGAAGTGTCTTATTTCTCCATTAATTTTGAATGATAGTTTTTCATGGTATGTCACTCTGGGTTTAAAGTTGTTTTATTTAGGACTTGAAATACTTCATTCCAAGTTCTTCTTGATTTGAAAATTTGCATTGACAATTATGATAGACTTTCCTTCATAGATGATACTTCTTTTCTCTAACAGCTTTTAATACTCTTGTGTTGAGTTTTTAATTCTTGGTTATTATATACCTGGATGTAGATTTATTTTGGTCATGGCTAATTGAGGTCCTGTGTGATTCAGTATCTGTATGTCAGATTCTTTTCTTATGCTTGGAAAATTTTCTGCTATTATTTTTACAAATAGTCTTTATGTCATTTGTGTTGACTCTAGTCAGTCCTATATTGTTTTTCTTTGCATTGTCTTGCAGCTGTTGAATTGTCTTTTCCTGATCTCTTACTATTTTTAAGATATCTTTTCTTTCTTGATTGCTAGCCATGATTCTGTCTTCAGAGTCTGAAAGTCTCTTCTTCACTTTTGTTTATGTGGTTTTGCAAGCTTTCAGTGGAATTTTTATTTCCTGGATATCTGTTCGAATCCATTTCATGCATTCTATTTATTTCCAATATGGGACATTCACAGTTTCCATAATTTTCCTATGTTCCTCTGTTTAAATCTATTCAACTCTAGATTTGCTAAGCAATTCCTTCATTATGGTCATCAATTCTTTTTTAACTGAGAGATTATTTCTGGTCTGATTTCCTCTCTAGCCTCATGAACTTGTTTGCTTTGGTTGGTATCATAATTTCAGATATGTGTCTTCAATTTTTTTTTTTCCATTTTCTTATATGTTATTGTCTCCTGGACTTATTCAAGGTGGGATGGCATCCTGAGGTTTCATTTTGCTTTTTTTTTTTTTTTTTTTTTTTGGTACCGGGCATTGAACTCATGACCTCATGCTTGTCAGGCATTATTTTGCTTTTGTGTCTTGTTATTTTCTATTTTTAAAATTTTTATTTTGTTTTCTGTGTGGAAAGTAATTTTATCTGTAGAATCAAGGCCTCCCTAGGAACTGTCTTTTCTTCAGGGATGACTTCTGTATGCAGGAGGGTCTTAGCTCATGTCTGTCCCTAGATTCTATCTTCCCAGCTTATTAAGAGTGAGATGTTGGAATCTATTTTGTTCAGTCCCCAGTCCTTTGATGCTGGGCAATGGTGAGATGTTGATACAGAAAGGAGAACAACTGATTTACAAGAGATTTACAAGAGATACAGAAAGGAGAACAACTGATTTACAAGAGATATTTACAAGAGATAAAGTAGTATATTTAACAATAACAATAGCATCAAGCACAGCTTATAAACTTTTAAACTGTGGTAACTATTAATTTTGTACTTAAGCCATAGGAGCAAAACCTAAGGTTATATAACAGAACTCATTGTAATTTGGGAACTTGTATGCAAAGTGTTTCTCCTTGGTAGAGTTACCCCATGGTGAGGAAATTTAAAGAAGATAGTGGATAAAACAGAGAACTAAAGAGAAATAAAGTAGAAGCAAGGCTGGTAAAAAAAGGATGATTGCACAAGCTTTGAGAAACTAGAGAAGAGGGCACAAGAGAAAGAACAAAGGTGTAAGCAAGAAATGACCAAAGTTAACCAGAAATATTAGAGACTGTTCGCTCATGAAAATATGATTAAATCCAGAGAGATAGTTGAGGAGAGGGGGAAAGAAGGTGAAGAAATTAGAACAAAAGTATAAGTCCTAAGAAATGGAAAATGAAATAAACCAGTAAAGAAAAAAGAAAAGAAAATGAAATATAATAAAAAATGATAATCCCTTGCTTATTCCTTATCTCATAGATAAGCAAAACCTTTATAAAGGACTTAAAGCTTCTCTTTTATAAAGGTTTTGCTTGATCTGTGAGTCTCTTATTTCAGACTAATTTTTGTTTCAGGATGTATGTCCCTCCCCTTCCAATTACCTATGTTTTTAGTTGAATTTCTCTTGAGTAGTTCTGAATAGAGGCTTCTCCTCTATTCAGCCATATCATCTCTTTAACTATCTGTAAAATTCGTATCTCATTGTGTGAACTGAGTCCCCACCAGTACAGAACAACTTTTTGCTATCCAACCAACCGAACTGGTATCAGTAGAAACATAATAGTAGATTTTTAGCAGGCTGGTTAATTTTCTTCAACACTAAAAGGATGATAAATATGACAAACATGAGTTTCTGAATTTCTGTAAGATTAGTAGTTTAAATTGAGCACTTCTAGATTGATTTGGGAGTTGAAACCATTCCTAGTTATACATTCCTGTGAATCTCTCTTGGGTAAAAAACTTTGCCATTATTCTCTATTAGGTAGGATTTTCATGGTAATTCTTGATCAGCAAAAATTTCTCTACAACAGTTTGCTGAGCAACATCTAGAAGAGCAACAGGTATTAGGGGTTAATGTGAAAGGTCATAATGTGAAAGTGTTTTATAAACTGAATGGAACTGAAATGTAGAATATGACAAGTGGCACTTCACTGCTTCCTAAAACGTCAATACCTTTTTCATAACTTTTTGACTTGGTTCTCAATTTCATTTTTTCCCCATCTTTCTGTTTCCTTCCCTGTACTTTCCCTAGGGTTTGTGTAGCCTGTGGCACCTATACAGTAGCACCTATGGATATGCTCTCACTAGGAATTTCAGGCTTGAAGTAGTAACCAACCTTTCTTTCTGGCCAAATAAAGTACCTGAGTTCTGTCTGTACATAAATGCCTCACGTTTATTCATAAGCTCTGATCAAAAAGGAAGCAGGCATTTCTTTGAATGTTTTCTTGTGTTCTGTACATCTTCAGAAACTTGCCTCATTAAAGGCAAAAGAGTTTAAACAGTATTTTATTTATGTGAAAATGTGACAAAAGATATGGTAACCTAAAAAATATTTGTGGCCAGAAAATATTCAAAGCAATGATACTGTAGCCCAAGGTAGGGAGAATTTGGGATGAGAAGTGGGGTGGAGATGAGGTTAGATTTCCTTCAGGTTGGATTGTTGGTGCAATTTCATTCTTCTGTATGAAATACTATGAATTGTCAAAATGATCAGTATACTCCCACCAAATGTACCAGAGTGCATTCACAGTGGAATGTGAATGGCTTAGCTTCCCTTTCCCATTGGTTCAGTTAATAGAAAAACTGGTTGGGAGAACAAGAGAAAATCACTTTAAATTATGAACACATGTGAATACCATAGGGGGTCTAAAGCTGAACCAGCTACCAATTGTTTTCTTTTTTAGTCTGTGTCTAGCTTAGGTGGACTGGAAATTAAAGACAAGCCACAGAAAAATGACAGTGGTCAATTTTTTCTCCTTTAATGTATTTTTAGACTTAATGGGAAAGCCACTAGAAATCATTAGAAGATGGGAAAAGAGTGGGTATTTCTGTACTGTTAACTTTGGACTACAAAAGATACCAAAACTTTTAAACTGAATAATCTAGTTGCTTTGCTTTTACTTCCAGGACAACACTATTTAATAGAGGAGTAGTCCATACATAAACCAATAGTAAAATTTCAGGTGGAGTTTGTACATATTCATGCAGATGAAGAAGAAACACAAGACATGTATGTTGTGGGATCCTAATGTCTTTATCATATAAATATTACTTGAAGAAAACTTACATTATCAAAAAATTTACAATCTGTACATTTTTTCTTGCAGTCCTTTTACATTATTTACCGTAAGACAGATTCATAAATGGTCAGTGAAAAAAGTGATTTAATTAACAAAGAAAATGACATTGTTAATAAAACAAAATTTATTTTTGTCTTGGCAGATAAATACCTGTCCAAAATTATTTCAAGTCAATATGAGAAACAAAAATTTTCATCTTCGACGTGGTAAAGCAAAAACTTGTTTCAGATTTTTCTCTGGATTCCACTAGTTCCCATAGCTCAACATAAACAATATTGATAACATTATTCCTCTTTTGCCTTTGCTGGATTTTAAAGCCTATGACGAAAATCTGGCCTTGTGTTCATTTCAGTGCTAACATTGTTCAGTGCCCAGGATTATCTATCCATGATAATTTAGTTAGTTAAAGGAACTATCACCTTTTGAAATCCTATATATTACAGATTATTTACATAAAAAATAGCTTGAGGTCTTCATTTTAGGTGGAAAGTATGAGGAAGTGTATATTCCATGATTATAGTTTAAAAACTGAGATATACCCTTTAGTCTGTCATAGGAAAATAATAATGAATCTGAATTCTAGCATTTTCATAAGCTCATGTTTACTCCATGTAAACCAAGTACCAGTTAGCTAATAAAGTGTATATTCTAGGCAGTGGGCCTAAGCGGCACTGCTTTGAGCATTTCTGAGTTTGGATTTACAAGAAGAATAAATTTATGTGAAGCAATTCTTTAAAATTTAGTAAAACATTTCTAAGTTTTATGTCATTAAATCTTAGTACAAAGAAGTAGACAAATGGAAGTGATCTTTCATCAAAAAAACTTAAATAATCTGAATCCTGCAAGTAGGCCACACTATATATTTTGTATTATTGATAAGGGCATCGTGCTTTGACTTTACATGTGAAACTTTCAATTAAGATTATATTCCTGGCAGCTGGCCCACTTATATATGAATTATAAATCAGTTGGCTACTGGATTTTCCTACCTAGTATGGAAGCTAATTCCCCCAAAAGAAAATGTTAGTTAGAGTTTGTGAATAATAGCCCAGGCCCCTAACTGAGCTCATTCATTAACCTTCGTAACAGAATATAACCAGGGCTTGTCACCTGTGATTTTGCTAAATAGTAAAATTTATGGAGACAACTCTAAACTACATGCATGCCTGATACCATATATACATATTATATACATATGTACATGTTGTCAGCTGTTATTTACATTGCTGATTCAATTAGCTTATTTCTCTAAGTAGTATCAATAGTGAAGACAGTTTTAAGCACAAAATCAGTTCAAAAGAGAATTTTAAAAATAGTTTACTTAAAAAATACTAAACAGGAAGGGTTTGATACTCTTTACAGACTTGCTTTAAAAAACTGTAAGTTCCTAGTTGTATTCACTATAGAATATGAGGACAAATATGTCTACATTATGTTTATTATACTAATCAGCAAGTCATATATGAGATGGTAATAGCTATGTTCCTAGGTACTGGTTTTATTTTAGAGTAACTTTAAGACTAGAACTAATTGACCTTGTGTCTGTATAACACCATGTTTAATAAGCCACTGAAAAGCCAAGGACTGCATCTCTAGAAGTTCACTTCTAAGTAGATACATTCATGGATGTGGCTTAGTGGGGAGGGAGGAAAAAAGGCTACTGATTAGATCTGAGGTAGTGAAGTAGATACACAAAGAATGCTGGGACCTACAAGTTCCACTGCTTTTGGAATATTGATATTTTTTCATTATCAGTAAAGCTTTGTAGAACAAAGGAAATCCTTCAATTTGGAAAACGCCAATTTGTTTTCCAGAAATTTTAGTTTTAAGAATCAGTGTGGGCCATATGAGATACTACCTTGTTAGGAAACTATAGTCATGCTTTAGGACACTTTTGCTATTCCAGAAAGAAGGGTGGAGGGGGCATGGATTTAGCTCAGCGGCAGGAGCACCTGCATGGCAAGCGCTAGGTCGTGAGTTCAATCCCTGGTACCAAAAAAAAAAAAAAAAAAATCAGTGTGGAACATGAAAAGTTTTGTATCCTACAGCTTTCTGCGAGTTTGAGTCAGCTGATTGAACAAGAAAACAATACTGTACATTAGGAGTCTTTTAAAATACGAAACAGTAAGGGCTTTTCTCTTCCAGAGTACTCCATTTAAAGACAGTCCATCTAAAGTTGCCCTGTCTTTGTGTTAATCAGCTTAGGAAATGAGAGCTGTGGTATACTCATCCGTAGGTGGTGCTCCATGAGTTTCTGGCTAAGAACAGTCGCTCTGTTCCATTTGTGCTAAGACATGATTGCTTTTTTCAAGCTGAAGGGATTCTATTTTCTTCTGTGCATATTTTAGTTGGATCTTTAGGGCGTCATTGTCTGCTTTCAGAGTATTTATTTCCTAAAGGGAAATGGAATACATATGTTAATAACACAGCAATGGGTAGCAGATCAGTTACAAAATTGAGAGTATTACAGTTGATTGGCATCTCCTGTTCACTGTGGTTGCGAATTAAAAACTTTCCAAAATAGTTATTTTGCACTGAATAGAAAATAACATGTTGAATATCAAATGAGTATATGTAAACAGCAGTTAGTCTTTTATTGTATCACGGACGTAAATAGCTGGCAGGAAGAATAAGTCATTCCTGGCTCACGTGTAGAGGGTGACAAAACCTTTGGGTATTGTACAGCAGATTTTAACTTGGTATAACAGTCTGGTCAGGCTAAGCCATGGAAGTATAGCTTGAAAATTGTGTCATATGAGATAGTATAACTCATTTAACTTGCTTTTCCTACCAAGTCACTGAAAATCAATGTATACTTCTGATAAAATTTTTATCCTACTCTCATAGAGTGAGATTTAGTGATCCAATTTGCAGTGATTTAATTGTACAGCCATCGTTGATTTCCAGGCTTCCGATTTTGAGACCAGTGTTCTTATATTATACCCCACAAATTATGCTAAACTGTATGGGCAAGGTCTGGATAACTGGAGACACATTGGATTGTCCTCGGCTTGAATTACTTGTGTTCTCTGTTAGCTGTTATATAATACTGGGCACTTGTTGTGTACCCTCTACTTGTTACATGACAATAAACTATCTTAGCCTTTATATGTACCTTGAAAATAGATAATTTTATAGAAGTAGAAAAGGTTGCCATATAATTTCAAGACTGAATTTGAATCCAAGTGTATATATCTCACCCAAGAGCTACTGTTTTTCTGTTGTCCAGTGTTGATTCAGAGGCACACATTCACCAAAATAACATGTAATATATATTTACACTTCAAAATGTTTTTGTATTACATTGCATTTTAAGTACTGATTTGACTAGTTTGTTATGGATAGGATTGTTGAATTGTAGACAAGTCAAAGATTTTACTTAATGGAAAAGTGGAACATTTCCTCTAACGTGTATATAGGGAATTTTAACTTGTGGGTCTGCTTGACGTCGATGAAAGTAAAAAGGCAGCTGGGAGAGGAACTGGCTGCTATCGCTGGGTAGGAATGACTGTGGACCTAATTCATTTTAAGTCTGTCATTTCCTCACAGCACCACTGCCAACTCGATTTTTTTCTTTTTCATAAACATGTAAAATTTCAAAATTTGAAACCTTAGTGTGGAGTCGTAGTCCTGTATTTACAGAGGATCAGTTAGGCTGGAGAGTGTCATAGCTGGCTTAAGAATATCCAGGAGTGGAAAACAGCTTCAGTGCCTGAAGTCCTTTCTCCTATATCTAGTTCATTTCTCAAAGTTTCTTTCATTTTTCTTAAAAGTTGTCTTTGCCAGTTTCTACCTTTAAAGAGAAAGGGCTTTTTGTAGCCCGCGTCTGATCGTCCTCTGATGACTTCTTTCTGAAAGCACGTGTTAAAAATATTTAGAGCAAGACTTTCTTCGTAAGCTCTTCAAAAGCACAAAGTTGAGTTTCACGTGGTATGTTATCTAGCTTTTATCTCCAGCTATTTGTCTAATTCCATACATGGGAGACTGAAAAGGGCGCAATGTTGAGAACAGTGCAGGAAATCTGACATCCAGGGGGAACTTTTGTTGTGTGGTAAGTAGAATTACATGAAGAATCACAGGCAGGTGGATGCCTAATTACCTGTTTTTAGTGATGGGCTTCCAAACACAGAACCTACCTTAATGCTTTCAGGAAAGGCCAGGCAGGCACTCTTTTTCTTTGTTAAAATGAATGTTCCTGTTAAAACTAACATATCCTTTCCTTCTTGTCTCCAAAATGGCTTGTCTATAATTGGTAACATTATTCCTCCCTCCCTCCTCCTTTCCTTTACCCAGCCAGAAATCAACTTGATTCGAATCTTCTCAGTCTTTAGCCACATACTGTTCTCTGGTTAGCTGTACTTCCCTAACAAGAGGCTGGAAAAACAGGGAAAGTAAAAGGAAGGTACCTGTTCTAGCTCTTGGTATGTTGGGAGTCTGAGATGACGGAGCTCTTCTTTTGATTTTATGAGGGACTCTTTATTCTCCCACTTGACAAACGCTCGCTTTCTGACCAAGACTGGACTGGGGCATGGGGATGTAGGACTGGGAAGTACATAAAGGGTATCCTGGGCTGTCTTCCTTGGAGAGGACAGCACAAAGTGACCAGAAGAGCCCTCACTGCCAGTCCAAGGTAGCGATTCGGTCTGGGTGGTCTTGTGGGCAACAGTCCTCTTAAGCCGAACTGAAATCTTCTGTGAGGACACTCCCATCAGCATGATGGTCCGATCCTTGCTCTCTTCACCGTGTTCCACAGCCTCCCCATTCAGGAATGTAAATGATCCGTCCTCAGGTGCTGTGGGGAGATGCATACAGTGTTACTCTCTCAGAGAAGCCAACACTCAGTACTCTCACGTCAATTTTAAACGAGATCTTCCTTACTGTTGCATTAGTTCTGCATTTCCATATAGACTCACTTACAGCTACCCAGTGTCCAGACAGCAAAGACTGAAATCCAGGGCTTTTATGGACCAGCACACAGTCACTAGTATTACGATATGTCCACCCTGAGTAAAGGGCATCTTTGTGTTTGTACAAAGTTTGCCTAGAGAGTTACTGTTTTTACAGCTCACTTTAATTCCCACCTCAATGTATATCTTCATCAGTTAAGGAGAACAGAATCAATATAGAGAGGAAAATGTTCCATAAATTACTTTCAGTGGGCTTGTGTTTGGAAGCTCTTAGGTATGTCCTGATACTCTCTAGTGGAAGGCAGGAACTCTGGGATCCATGGGTACAGCTCGCAACTTTGTGGAACTGAGTTCCAAAATGTACTGCCTGCAAGTGATACTGATGGGGGAAAAGAAAGTGAACCAATCTGGTTTTGTTCCTTAAGCTGATACCCCTGCTGAGAGTCCAACCAGGAAATGTTAACCATAAGGAAGGAGTACCTTACTAGAAAAATAGAGTAACAACAGATGTATTTGAGATGGGTAGTAGGCTTTAAGATTAGCAAATTCTCTAAGTTTTGTGTTTACAACAACTTAGTATAATTGTTAGTTCTCTGAAAAGTTACTATGACCTATACAGCATTGATAAACAGATTATAGAGTATTTACTTCATTAAATGGGGATGAGAAAATAGCTTTCAGAGTTTAGAGAACGAAATGATTATGTAAGAGAAAGTATTGTTCAAAAGTGTACATTTAGAAGAGCTGGGGATTTAGCTCGGTGGTTTAAGTGCTTTTCTGATTAACGCAAGGTCATCAGTTTGATCCCTGGTACCAAAAAAAAAAAATAAATAAATAAATTTAGGGGCTTGGAATTTAGCTTAGTGGTTTAAGCTCTTGCCTAAGGGCAAGTAAAAAATTGTGAATTCAACCCCCACCCAAAAGTGTACATTTAGGACCAAGGATATATAACTTAGCAGCACAGTGCCTGCCTGGCAAATATTGAGGTAGCACCCAAAACATACATACATTTTATATATATATATATATATAGTATTTGTATTAAAATTATTATTTTTTTCTGTTGCTAAATTTTCTAGCTAAGACATTAGACTGCTACTTGAAATAGTTTAAAACAAATTTCTAACTAGCACCTATAACTAGAATCCATAGTTCTAATAATATGTATTTTTAATGTTAGCAAAGTTTTATTAAAGAGGAAAAGAAACAGGCTGTGTATTGTAAGTTTGGGCCAAGTAAAAGAAGGAAAAGATGTGTACGGTACAGTATGACAGTGTAACACAATGCCCTGTACTGCAAATTTTCTAACTGTACCTCCCTGAAGTTTTGTCTTCAAGGAAACATGATTTTTAAATTATCATTTAATATTTATCCAAATAAGTTTCAAAATTATATAATCTTTTATTACCTAAGTACTAGAATATTTAATCTACTATTCACTTTAAAATAATTACATTATCTTTTTGGAGGAGCATTATGGGTGATTATTTTTGAATCTATTTTCTACTTTCTAATAACATATCACGCATGTATATTGCTGGAGTTTCATGTGACATTTTGATACATCCATACAGCATGCAGTGATCATGCCCACCTCCCTTCCCACTCACACCCTTTCCAGTTCCTAGTATTCGTTATCACACTTTCAGGTTGACTTTTTAAGTTTCTGCATAAGATAGGCAACGTATGATTCTTGTTTGTGTCTGGCTTATTTTATTTGCTGTGATGTCTTCCAGTTTCATTTGTCCTTGCTGTTAAGGACAGGAGTTCATTTTTCTTTGTGCCTTAACAACATTCCATTGTCTATATATTTCATATTTTCTTTATCCACTTATCCACTGATGGGCATATAGGCTGATTCTGTATCTTAGCTATTTCTGAATAATAGCACATTGAACTCAAGTATACAAGTATCACACGCAAGCTTCATTTTTTTTGACTGTATATCCAAGAATGGGAGAATTGGATCAGCTGGTAGTTCTACTTTTAGAGGAACTCTGTATTATTTTCCATAGTGGTTATACCTATTTACATTTCTACCAATACTTATGATTCCTTTTCCTCTATGTCTCCCTAACGCAGTTCTTATTTTTCTTTTGTAGCACTCATTCTAATATTGCTTTTTAGTTTAGGTTTGCAATCCTCTGATGCCAAGATAGAAGCATGTTTTCATATATTTATTGCCTAATTCTTGTGAGAAGTGTTTTAGATCATTTGCCTATTTTTACAGAAGGGGCTTTGCCCATTTTTTTACATTGGGATTACATTTTTTTCCCCCTTCTTGGTTTCCAGGGATTGAACCTCAGACCTTTTCACTGAGTTACAGCCCTAGTCTTTTTATAATTTTTAAACTTTCATATGGAGTCTCGCAAGTCACCCAGCCTGAGTGTGAATTTGCAGTCATCCTGCTTTACCTCCCAGAGAGCTAGAATTACAGGTATTTATATACCACAATATTTGGTGCTTGTTGCTGTTAAGCTTTTGAGTTTTCTATGTATTCTAGATATTAATTCTGTCAGATAAACAGCTGGTCAACATTTTCTCCTTTGTATATGTATGTTATCTCTTCACTGTTGATTCTTACAGTACGCAGAAACTTTTTGTTTGATAGAAGTCCATTTGTCACTTTTTGATTTTGTTGTCTATGTTTTTGAAGTCCTACCCCCAAAATTATTGCCTGTACCAGTCTCTTGAAGTGTTTCCCCTCTGTTTAATAGTTGTACAATTTCAGGCTTTATGTTAAGGTCTTTGACTCACTTGGATTTGATTTGGTTCACAGTGAGAAACAAGGGATTGAGCTTCAGACTTACTCATGTAGATATCTAGCTTTCTCATCACCATTTGTTGAAGAGGCTCTCCTTTCCCCAATATATATTTTTTAGAATCAGGCAGCTGTAGCTATATGGGTTGATTTCTGGATCTTTAAATTCTGTGGTCTGTGTGTCTTTATGCCAGTGCCATGCTATTTTGGTGACTAGCGTGGTTGCACATCTTGAAATTGGGTATTATGATTCCTCCAGCTGTGTTCTTTTTACCTAAAATTGCTTTGGCTCTTCTAAATGTCTTGTGAGTATGAATTTTCTTTTTCCTACTCTTAAGAATGTCATTGGCATTTGATGGAAATTGAATCTGTAGATCACTGTGGTAGTACTATATGGACAGTTCAACAATTGTTTCAATCCATGTACATGAGAGACCTTCATGTTCTTTAGTAATCTTCATCAGTGTTTTGCAATTTTCACTGTAGAAGTCTTTTGCTTTCTTGGTTATGTTTATTCTTAGATGTGGTATGTACGTGTGTCTCTATTAATAGTGTTTGAGTCTAGGTGTTTCTGTGTGTAGAACCTTATCATCTGTAAGCAGAGATAATTATATTTCTTCCTGTTTTATTTGAATGCCTTTTATTTCTAACTCTTGCCTCATTCCTCTGGCTAGAACCTACAGTACTATATTGTGTAAGAGCAGTGAGAGCGGATGTCTTGTCTTCCTGATCTTAGAGAAAAATGTCACTTTTCTCATTCAGTAGAACACTGGCTGCAGTTTGTCGTATGCTTTCCAAAGTGTTCCATGGAATTGAAAGGGAAGGAACCTTTCCAAACTCATTTTATCAGGCCACTCTTCAGTCTGTTACCAAAATCTGACATATAAATTTTAAATCATTCTTTTGACTTCTTCAGTGATCTGTGTTCAAAAGTATGTTCAGACTCCAGGTATATGAATAATTTTTTAAGTTTCTCTTGTGAGTGATTTATAGTTTCATCTCACTGTTATCAGAAAGGATAGAGGAAATGGTTCATTTTTAAATCTGTTTTGTGGCCTAAAATTTGGTCTGCTATATAGAAAGTTCCACATGCTGATGAAAAGAATGTTTATTATCTGCAGCTAGTAGATACAATGTTCTGTAGAGGTTTAGTTCATTTGATCTATAGTATAGTTTAACCATGATGTTAGCTGTTTTTTGGAATGTTTGGTCCAGATGATCTACTACTACTGAGGATAGGGTATTGAAATTTTTCACCATTATTTGTATTGGAATCTATTTCTTGCCCTAGGTATGTTTTATAAAATTGGAGTCTAATATTAGTGTCAATAGAATTACAATCCTGTCTTACAATGAATCGATCCCTTGATCATTATATAATGAGCTTCTTCACTTCATAGTTTTTTGTTTTGAAGTCTTACTTTTTTTGTCTTTTTCGTTTTTATCGGTACCAGGGATCGAACTCACGACTGCCTGCTTGCAAGGCAGGCGCTTATGCCGCTGAGCTAAATCCCCAGCCCCTTGAAGTCTTTCTTTGTCAGCTATAAAATAGCTACTCTTACTTTAAGATTCCTTTTGCTTGGAATATCATTTTCCATCTTTTGTGCGTGTGTCTAAGAAGTGAGCTTTGTGCAGGCAGCATATTGTTGAGTTTTGTTTTTTTAATCCATTCATCAAACATGAATTATATTACATTTAAGGTTATTACTAAAAGGTATGGATTTAATGGTTGTCTGTTTTTGAACATTCTTTGGTCTTTTCTTCCTCGCTTAATCATCATTGTGATATGATAGTTTATAGTACTGTTGGTTCTTTTCTGTTTCACTTCTGTGTATCTGCTCTTCTAGTAGAATTTATATTTTTACATGTTGTCATGATGGTAGTTACCTTTCTTTCACTTCTGGATATAGGACTCCCTAAAGCATCTTTTGTAAAGAGGTCTATTGGTCCTGAATTCCCAGTTTTTGGTTATCTTGGAAGTTCTTTTTTTCTCTTTTATCTGTGAAGGACTGCCTTTGTGGGTAGTAGTACTCTTAGTTGGAATTTAGGCATTTATTTTCTATCAAGACTTGGACTACATCATTTGATTCCCTTGTGGCCCCCAGGGTTTCTGTTGAGAAATCTTCTGTCGATTTGATGGGGTTGCCCTTAAATATGCCAGGGTGTTTTTCTCTTGAAAATTAAAAAGAAAGAAAATTTGTCCTATATTTTTCAGTTTCGCTGACCTACATCATGACTATTTGTGATTATATTAGCTTTTATAATCCATGCCTTTCTCAAGATGGGGGAAGTTCTCTGGTGTCATTTCGTTGAGTAGGTTTTCTGTCCCTTTCTTAACCTTGATTTCCTCACATTCAGATATTCCAATGATGTAGGTAATTATTTAATAGTGTTCCTATTAAATAATAGGAACACTAGTGAAAGCTGTCATATTTTTTTTTTCTGAATGTGTCATTTCAAAAGACTTCAAATTCCAATATTATTTTTTCTATGTAGTCCATTGTTGAGGTTTTCAGCTGAGTTTGTAATTGAATTATTGAGCTTTTCATTTCCAGGACTTTGGTTTGGTTCTTTTTTCAAAATATTTGCCTCTTTGCTGAATTTTTCATTTATATCTTGCATTGTCTTTCTAATTCACTTAACTGTTTCTTTGTATTCTCTTGGGTCTCACTTTTAAAAAAATTATTCTTTTGAATTCTTCATCAGGTATTGCATCCATTTTAGTTATCCTTGCTATCTGTTACTACAGTTAGGATCTTTTGGGGGTGTTTTGGTACCTTTTCATATTTCTTGTGTTTCTACATTGCTTATTTCATGGAAGTATAATTTTCTAGGGTGATTGGTTTGCTATATAATGTTTATTTTTAGGTGGAAACTGTAGTTTCCTCAAAACATCTCTGGCTATGGTAGTGAGTTTAGGCACCAAGTGAGTGTCAAAGTCACAAAGACCCACTGTCTCTTTTTCAGTGCAGTGCCCACAGAGAGGAGGAGGAATGGCTTGTGTTTGGAGCTGGGCAAAATTTGTCTCAAGGCTTCCTTTGGCTGTGCACTCTCAGGACAGGGCAGGGCCAGGGTGACAGTGGGGATCTCCCTGGTTCCTGCATCTGTAGTTACTACAAGGAGTTAGTGGGATGAATCCCACTTTGAGCAGGTGAAATCCCTCTGAGTCTTCTTGCTGTGTGGGCCCCAGGGTAGAGTGATGGCCAGAGCGTTTCTCTTGACTTCTTTGGTGGAAGTCCCAGAGAGCACTCATGACTTAACGCCTCCCTTCCTTCAGGACTTCGCTGAACTTTCAACCTTCTCCAAGAAGTCTTTAGCAAAAGGCCCGAGACATGGTGTCTTCTATATCCCTGTCATTTGTGTTTCTGTAGCCTATTTGGCTTGTAACACATACCCTTCCACATTGTTTCTAACCCACTCCCTGGTTATTTTCTGTCCCCCTAACTAGAAAGAAGCGGTCCTTTCTTTTTCCTGGGAGTCCAAGTAATGCTTATAATCATATCTTTATTGCACTTACTGTTATTTGCATACGCACACATCTGTTTGTCTCTGGTACGAAGTCTCTATGTAACCCATGCTATCCTCAAACTCGTGATCCTCCAGCCTGAGCCTCCTGAGCACTAAGATTATATGCCTGTACCACCATGACCAGCCCAATTTATCTTTTGACTATTAACTTTTTTCAGTTTAGTTTTCTTCTAGAATTTGGAATTTTGATTTGTAAGCTTGTATTGCATAGGAGTTCTTCTCTCCTTTTCCTTTCTGCATTTAGTGTTGTGTTTCTGGAATGCTGACAGTTATATGCACTTGGCCTCTCAGTCTAGAACCTGGTTGTAAACTAATGGGTTCAGACTCCTCTCCTGGAAGAAAATTAGTGGCATCACAGGTAGCCAGTCATCCAGTGACTGTATGCCTCTTGTTGCTAGGAGTGACAGTGATGACTTTTTCAGGATCCTTCAGCAAGTATAAGCAGTGTGTTTGGCTTTGTCACCTTTCATGCATAATTGGTTTCTGTTACTGTACAGAAAGCAAACTCTTAGCTGCATGTTTCTGTAAATGGAATCATGAAGACCTGTGGATTTGGCTTCTACTCCCTAAAGTTGTTAGTACACTTCTGATCTGTAGAGATGTTACTCTTTGATTCTGAATACAGCTATGCCTTTTAATATGTTGTCTATATTCCATATATTGTATATGTTATATGTATGCACGTGAATTCTCTCCCCATCGTTGCTTTCAGTTGAGGATGGAGTAGGGCGGCTGTTAATTTTAGGCATGATCTTGGCAGAAGTCAGTATGAGTGCTTGCTCTAGTGCTCAGTGAACATCTGCTGATTTTTAGGCCTAACTTGCACTCTGTTATTCCAGCACTTAGGTCTGGGGCACAGACATAGCCAAAATCTAGGTGTGGGAGGGGTCAAGAATAGAGTTCAACATTAACTCAGACATAGATACACATGGTTGTCTTTCTTGCCCCCAAATTTTGCCCTTCTCTCTGTACTTTCCAAGATGAACATTTCCAGTGTCTACTTACCATGGAGCAGATCTCTGCCTCCCAAAGAGCAAAGGTTGGATGTTGGTGCCACTGAAGTGTTCTCCATGGGAGCCACTGGATTTTTGGTTCGCTTCTTGCACTCAAACACCACTAAATCTTTGCACTGTTTGTGGCAGTTCATCCCACAGTCTGTGGACAAGATACTTTGGTTAGGAAGTCTCACCTGTCTTCTTCAGGTCTTACCACCAATTCACCGCTGCTCTCTCGGCAGACATGTCTGTTCTCTATTCTACAGCTAACCTCACCTGATACTCCTGATGAACCTAGTACTGTCCTCACTTGGCAAACCCCTGTCTCACAGGCTGGTCTGAACCCGTATCATTTGAATCAATCTGAAAACACATTTGAAAAAAGATAGTATCCTGTTCTCCCTGTTCACCCTCCTTACAGTAGGGAGACCCTCTGGAAGTGCCCGGCAGCTGGGTCCTACTTTTTCTTCCTTGCAGTGGAAGGTCTCCTTTCCCCTACTTAATTGTCTTAGCCACAAGGAAGGGCATTTATGTCCGGAGGAACCAGTCATGAGAGGAAAGCTGGCAAAGACTTTTAATAATCATTTATCCTCTGTTTATTTTCCTTTCATTCTTATGACTCCACGAGCTCACTTTCCTACAAGCCATCTCTATTACCAAAGCAACCAAGGCAGAGAAGATTTTGTAAAGGGAAACTGCTGAACTGGCATCCCTCTCTTCTGTAGGGCCAGTCACACTTGGGTGTTCTTGGGAAGCCAGCTTGGAAATGGGGTTCTAAAATATGCGAAGAAGTTGTGGACTAAGTGGACAACTGGGGTGGGAGGAAACGGGCTTCTAAGACCAGGGGAAACAATGCCATTGACAGTGCTCACTTACCTTTACATCGATATCCTTGTTTGATCACTCCCCAGAGCTAGGAGACAAAGGAGACAGATTCATTATCTGGTGTGAAGCTTCAAACTGACATTCATGGTTTATTTTCCCTCCTTCCACTCTCTTGAGAGCTCAAGTTTATCTCTTATATGTCTTGTCCTAACCTTTAAAAACAGGAAACATTTGTGGCTACCTGAGTCAAATGCTCTCCAGAAGCTCACTGTAGTGACTTTATGACTAGGCCTTCTACAGACCTGCCATGGATGAGTCATACAACTGACAGCTCCCCGGTTTCCATACGGAGCACACAAGTCTCTAGTTGGGAACCCTGGGCTAGGAAAGTTTGGTTAGGGTGAGACAGCAGGGGCAAAGCTGAGGTGATCTCTTCAAGACAATGTCTTCTGGAAGTAGAAAAGAGGGCATCTCATAACTTTTTGCTAACATTTAAAACAATAAACCAATATAATGATTGAAAAAATATTTCCAGAATTCAACACTTCTGTTGAATGCCTAATGTACCAAGGAGGAAAAAACATCAGGAATAAATGAGGCAAAATGAGTGGAAACGAAGTCCACCCATTGAGGATTAGGTCCTGCTGTTCGCTTGGGCTCTAAGCTGGGAGGAATGCATGAGTGTAAGGTCTGTGCCCTTCTTAACGCCGCCTGTAGTCCCTCCCTGACGTGCTCCAGGGACAACTTACAAACCCAGCGCAGTTGTCGCAGAAAGTAGGCTTCAGGTAGGTGGTCTCCTGGAAGTTGTGAGGAAATCCCAGGCCCAGCTTGGAGTAGATGGAACTGGCTCTCATGAAGTAGGCCGTGATCTCCTCTCTACTGATGAGGCCTTCCCTGCCAGCGAGGGATGGGGGATGTGGTGAGGGGAAGGTGGCAAAGCAGAGCCACGTCCGTGCTGCCCAGAATGCTTCTGTGAGTCTCCTCCGTTCTTTGGCTAAACTAGGTTTTCCTAACTAATCTGACTACAAGACCTGAAATGATGTAAAATTTGTAACCAGGGAGGAAAATACCTATGCTACAGCTTCTAACTTTAGAAAGTGCATGACTAGGTCCCACTAGCCATACATTTGGTTTCTGATAATTAGAATATGTATAATTTTAAGGCTAGGAAGTATGCAAAGCATTATTTTCCATAATCTGTAAAGACAAATCATGAAAAACTATACTTATATGTAGTTGGCTATTTACTAAGTTGGCAGATTTTTTGGGATCTTCAGTTGTGAGCTATCTAAAAAAGCACATAAGTGTCATAGTCTCTTGTCCAAACTAAAGGTAGAGAGGCCTGGATGACTGTAAACACATCTGTACTTAGAAATCCTCCTAGTGATGTATCTGCAGGCCTGCTCTCACCACTGGGTCATACCCACGTGTCCTCACCTGTCTTTGTCCATCACACAGAAGGAAAACGGGAAACTTGCAGCGATCTTTTCAAATTCTTCCTGAGAAATGTATCCATCCTGGTCATGATCATAGTTTTTAAAGACAGACTGTGAAAAAGGAGTTTTCTTGGTGATTACGAAGGAGAAACCAGCCTTCCTTTCTTGAACTAAACAGCAAAGGGGCTGGGGAAGATCAATAAAACCCTCTTAAAGCTTGAGTAAGAGGAACAGAGAAATGTGCTCCTTAGGCTGCTGCACAGATGTGGCAGGCCACATCCCAGCTGTCCATGCCATCCCAGGCTGTGCAGACCACCAAGCCACTGCAGAGAGGGTCTCTTCTGTGCTCTGCTGAGAAATTCCTCTGGGAAACTCGTGAACAGCCTGCTCCTCTGTTCCCCATGTCTGCTTACTCGTCTGCTGTCCCATGAGAATGGTCCCCAATAATAAAGCCTTGAAATATGGAAGTGTACACACTCTTCTCAAGGTAGCCCAGGGAACTGAGTCCTGCAGTGCCATAACGTTCAGTTTTACATTCCTTTATCCATACTAAATTCAACCTCCGCAGTATCTTTCTGCCTGCCCTCACTTTTATACCAGTGATCGGCTAGGCCTATAAGGGCAGTCAAACCTGCCCCATGTGAGACCAAGAGTTTTGCCGAAACTCTTGGCAGTAGCCCCTGGACTGTTCTGCTGCCAGTGTGAGAAATGGTCCTCTGAGTGAGCCTCAGCTTCCTCATGTGTTTCTACTGCTGTGCTCCCCTGGGCTCCCCACCTTAAGGTAGCAGCGCCTGCCTTTAGTGTCCTGAAACAACCGTACTCACGTCCACCATCCTCTGCACATGTTTACTAATGGTCTTCGGATCAGGTTTGGGTGATACTCCAGAGGCCCAGTCTACTACTACCGGCGGCTTAGAAGGTGTTAGTGGCTAAAGGAAAACATGAAGAGAAACCCTTATGACTGTGACGCAGACTTATAGCGGACAACACCTTCCTCTCCCAGAGCCTGACAGTCCCATCTGCACATCACTGTGACTACAGCACACACCTAACCGAAATCGTCCTGTAATACAGGCTAACATAGGTGTTGGGCTTTTGTTTCTAAAGTCTTCACGTAGATTGTCTCCAGCTCCAAATAGTTTAAAATTCTTAGTGTGCCTGAGCTTCAGATCCTCTCCAATAAAACTTGTGAGAGCTATCTACAAAGAGTAAAGTGGTCTATTGCAATGAAATGTCTTCTATGTCCTGTTGTCACTTTTTATTTTAGAAACAGTGTCTTGCTATCTACTTCAGGCTGGCCTTGAACTCACTATGTAGCCCAGGCTGGCCTCAAACTTGTGGCGCTCCTCCTGCCTCAACCTTCCAAGTGCTTTTCTTACATGCCTAGGCCACAATGCCTGGCCTTTGGTCACCTCTCAGTAGAAGCAGCTGAGGGAAAACCTGATTAAAAGGCAAAGATGCACAACCTACAGCATCACAACCTAATGGAGCTTTTCTACTGAACAAAGGGGACATCTTGAGAAGTTTAGTTTTTGACTAACATGTATATATGTCCTCTTAGCATCAAAAATCATAAGAAGAAACAACATCTGTGGGAAGAATTCTTAACAGGAAGAAGTTACCGCTCTGGTTCATAATACTGTCTCCCGTACCAATTCTGCCACCCCTGACACACGGCCTATGACAACTCAGGGTCCACACAGCTGCCCCTTCAACTAGATCATAAGCTCTTTGTGGACAGGAACAGTGTCACACAATGGTGAGCAGCTGTCTGTTCCCAGGACAGAGCTGGGCACATGTGGAGATAACACACATACTAAACTAAGTCTGCTCATTGAAGGTGAACACTTCAGCGGCAGCATGTGTCGCGTGGGTCAGTACGAGCAACTCACCGGGGCTCTGTGGTTCCTCGGTTCCCGGGCATAGGAGAGTTCATAGATCTCATCTTCAGTGTAGTAGAGATCCAGGGATAGCTAGACCAAAGCAGAATAAGGGTAAGTTCTACGATGCTATCTTCTCCTAAGACTGATAGTGCTATCTTGCTTCCTGTTTGATAGTTTGATCTTGGAGTTGAGCAGTTTGTTTCTATGATTCAGTTTGACCTGCTAATGTGAAAGGGAAAAGTTTAATTCTTTTTTTGTTAAAATGTACTTAAACTCTGGAAGAGTCCCAGGGTGCCATTTCCAAAACTGCTTGAATATCCATGATTTAATACTAAGCTTCTGCATAGAGCTGATATTATCTCAAGCAGAGATCTGTGAAGGTCACTTGGGTAAAGTAAAAGGGCTAGACCAGCAAGATTAGGCACCAGGCAAACAAGAAGGGACTGTTTATCAAAATGCTCCTGCGAGGCGGAAGGAAGATATGGTCATTATTCCATTTCCCCTACAAGAAACAGGTTAATATCAGAACTAAAAGATGGGAGACATGGCAGCGAGTTACCCCTCTGAGGTTCAGGGAGGAGACAGTGATGTGGGGTGTGTGGTCCACAGTCACACAGCTGGTGAAAGGTCCCAGGTCTGGAAGGGTGCTTGGTTCACCCTGCACTCATACGGAAATCCTGGTTTCCATACCACTGAAAAGTGCTTGGCTATGCCTGGCCCGAATCTCTTTAAGCCAGTGGTGGCAGGACCCAAGTAATAAATCCATTGTGTTGTTTTGTTTTAACTCACTGCTTTGCCTTTAAAAAAAAAATAATAAGAGCACACTGTCTCCATCTACTACCAATCCTTAAATTGTGATTTAGCATTATCTCCTCCTAGAGAGACTGCCACTGGTTGTGCTGGAGTAGGGAAACACCCCTCAAAGTCCAAAGGGCACAATGCTGTGGAGAAGTCCTCTGAAGTCTTCCCACATGGGTCTGAGTCCAGGCTCTGTCACTTAATAAAAAGGGGTTCTCTGACAAGTTATGTCTTTGGGCCTCAGTATCACATCCACAAACTGGAGCTAATGGTAGTTTTGCTTTGTGAAGTCTTTGAGAATTAATGGTGTTAACATTTGGTAATGTGTATAGTGTGGCACGAGGCATGTGCAGGGTGCTCAGTAGTTCTCCAGAGTGACCTTACCGTCAGCAGGTGCACCAAGTCCTTGTTGGCCTCCAGTGGGGGGGCCACCTCCTGTAGCTGGACTAGTTCATTGATATGGTTGTAAAGGGCCAGCAGCTTGTGGACGTTCACCTTCCCATCTTCCAGGTAGTCAGGCATGGCTTCATATAGGGAAATAAGATCCTTCAGGTGCACCCCTAGGATGGGGATCTTGAAATGGGTGCATTCCCCGTAGGCTCGCCTGTAGTTATCGTAGTTTCTGCAGGAGGAGAGCAACTCGGTCATCTCGCCGAGAACCTACAAAGAAGAACAGACTGGTCTCAGTCCTCCCTGGGCAGTGTGTGTTGTCTGTGATGCCCTCTGGCTCACTCTCATCCCATACTACGATTTCATGCCAGCCCTAACCTGGGAGTGAGAGGTGATTCATCTAAAAGGCAGAGGTTATGACTCTCAAACTTAGTGTGTCAGATGTTCCAGAGTATTTTTACAAGCACGGGATATGCTTTAGTTGATTTTACTACAGAATTTAAAAACTAAGTGAGGGGCATTCAGACACGAACTCATCATGTGACAAAAAACGATAATTGAGTCCTTTTGGCCAGAACCACCATCTTCCAGTAATTTACCAAAATGACGAGCACAAAGGGAAAGAGGAGGGGAACCCGTTATATGTTCTCTAGGCCTTTTAGAAAACATGGAGTTGTTCCTTTGGCCATATACATGCGAATCTACAAAAAGGGTGATATTGTAGACATCAAGGGAATGGGTACTGTACAAAAAGGAATGCCACACAAATGTTATCATGGCAAAACAGGAAGAGTCTACAATGTCACCCAGGATGCTGTTGGCATTGTTGTAAACGAGCAAGTTAAGGGCAAGATCCTGGCCAAGAGGATTAATGTGCATGTTGAGCATATTAAATGTGGGCCTCATATTACATGAAATGGAAATGTGGCTCAAAGAGTCGCGATAGTTTCCTGAAATGTTGTCAAGGAAAATGATCAGAAAAAGAAGGAAGCCAAAGAGAAAGGTACCTGGGTTCAACTAAAGCACCAGCCCGTCCCACCCAGAGAAGCGCACTTTGTGAGGACCAATGGGAAGGAGCCTGAGTTGCTGGAACTCATTCCCTATGAATTCATGGCATAAGCTGGGGAGGGAGCTCTGCCATTCAGCACCTAATTGGTGGCTAAGTGTTCTGGGCCCTGCTTAGGAATGAAAAATCATCCAGTGTTGTAAGGATGGTTTTCTTAATTGGACAGGTGTGGTGCCTTTACTTCAGAAACAAAGATTTGGAGCAGCTTTTCATTCTACCTAGTTAATTGTGTCAGGTCTTTACTCAGTGATGTTTTTCTTGCTGAAAGATACTGCCTGAGGTATTGTGTAGGTTATCCCAAATGGCCGAATATTTATGAAATATTTATATTGTCTTGAAGATCCAGTGGGGAAAAGATCACCCCGGGGCAGAGATGTATCAAAATAAAATAGAAGTCACTTCAGTTAAATAAAAGGAAGTCATTTCAGTTAAATAAATTGTTTAAAGCAAAAAAAAAAAAAAAAAAAAAAAAAAAGTTGAAAGCTTAAAAGTAAATGGTAAATGTTCATCTAATCCACATCCATATGGCTCCTTTCCCAAGGATCTTGTGAATGCTTTCAGGGACATAAAACAGGATGTCATATGTGCTGCTTCTGTCTTTGACAAGGTAGCAGCACGTGTGTGAGGTGTGGCGCTGCAGTAGTCTACTGTCACTGTTCTCTATGAGGCCTTCCACGGCCGAGGTTCTCCAGTGTGGCCTGTCTGGGAAGAGTGACTTTCCATTCCCAGATGGAAACGATGAACCAAGGAGGGTTTATGCTAGTTCCCAGCAAGGGGCTTGGGTGAGGAGGAGACAGGGGCCCCATGATCTCTTCATTAGTGCTCCTTCCCTCCCTCAAGCCTGGAATTGGGCACGGCTGCCCGACAGTGCAAAGAGGGAGCAGCCAGGCTGGTGTTCTTTCCAAAGCCCCAGATGCGCATAGAGCCCTGTTATCCATTCATAATGACCAGCTTTCTCTGAAGCACAGATGTAGAGAGAAAGGCTGCCAGTCACACCATCTCATAAAATAATCACATAAGACACTGCCCAAATTCTTTTAATAAAATTGTGGCTTAAAAAAATATCACTTCCCCAGGAAGAATTTGAAATTTGGAGTCAGCCCCTCTGATCACATTGAGGTGACAGGAGCGCCCCCTCACACCTCGTAAGGGCAGGCTCAGTCACAAAACTGACATTTTTATCTCCTCACAAATCAGCTATCAGGAACACAGGCTTCAACCGGTAATTTAATAAATTCACTTGCAAGCCAACCATCTGCAGACCAGAAGCACTGCAGTAAGGGTGCTGAAGAGAAGCAAGCTCTAATTAATAAGCTAAGAGACATGGGTCATGTTGGTGTTCATGACTCCTTCCCCCTTGCCTCTGACACATGAGGAATTTTTACGGCTGTTCCATCTGGCCTCAGCACAGGAAAAGCAAAGGTGACTAAAGATGAACTTTTTGACCTGTCATTGAGGGCAGCTCCCCGGAGGCCCTGCACTGTGACCGACATACTTAACAAGGTGCTCCCCAAGAGGAGACTGCACAGCTGAGTACGTGAGTAGAACAGGTGAGCCTTAGATACCTCTCAGGAGAGAGCTGCCTTCCATCCAGCTGGGGATGGTCAGAGTCTGGGGACAGAAAGGTCCTATTACATGAAATGGAAATGTGCACAGAGCCGCCCTAGTTAACCCCCATGCGGTAAGAGGCTGCCTGGAGGTCCTCAGTAGAGCATGGTGGTTTACAGTAATAACCCTATGTTACAGTAACAATCCTATATCATAGAAGATTGAATATATTCTGAACATCTAAATAATAAGAAATGTGCACAGGACAGGAAACAGTCCTCAATAACAGTCCTCAATCCTATTAAAAGATGGTATCTGAAGAACTCATCTCCAACTCTGGGAATATCTAAGCATGCGGAAAATCATTTTCCAAGGCTTCTGGATGGCCAGGATTTTAATGTACCACAACATAACTATTCTGCATGGAAAACACTTTGGAGCGAGGAACTAGAGCGAGGGGTCAGCAATACAGATGGTGACTAAACACTCAACGGCCTGTGGACATGGGAAAGAGACACACATTACTTCACTGGCCCAAGAGAAAATGATGTGGTGATACCTCTGAGGCCAGATGGAATCTAAGACTCCCAAACCTGTAACTCCCCATCCTGTGAGTTCCCTCAGGGTGTGCCTCCTAGTCCCCTGCCTGTTGACCAGGGAAGGTATGGCTTGGAAATGCTCTCTGAGCTGCCTCTCAAGAAGAAAACATTGTGTTTATCCTGGAAATGATCCAAAGGGTCCCAAGAAGACAGTGGCACTGACCTTATTGATTTCATGTGGGACATGCGAACTGGTCTCCTTGAGCCTGGAGATTGAGCTGTGACACAGCCCACCTATCACAGCCATCAGCGTATTGAAGTTCTGTAGTTGGTGAAGCTTCTGTGACAAGATAGATGCCAACAGAGTTACTGCACATATCAGTTACACAGGAAGCTTAGAGGCTCCTGCCCAGACTGCAACCCTTTATCCTGCTGATCACTTAGTGATGACAGGTAGCAATTTTCTGTTCATTTCTCCTTTTCACTGTATTCCCGACCCACCAAGTTAGCAAGGTGTTAGTTACATCTCTCCCTTTCTTGTAGCTAATCTATGAACTACCATCTAAGTCAGTTTCCAAGGATCACCATGAGCACCTGTTCAGGACAAAGACAGCTGAACCTTGGTCTGGGGTTGGAGTTAAAGATCTCTAGTTCTAATACACCTCTAACCAGTGAATGGAAAAACAGAAGTATCACCCTCTGGAGTTCTGGGGGCAGCTTCCCACCGAAACTCACAAGGGAAGAAGAGCTCCCGGTGAAGACCAGGCTGGAGAAAGAAGTGTAGCTAATTTACCTCTCAGCTGAGGTGGACAGTCTTCATCCAGTCACTCACCTGGGCCACATGGATGAACTTGATGAAGACTTCTGCCCGGAGCTGTGGGGTGGGGCGGCTGAGAACCATCAGTTGCACCCACTGGGAGATGCCATTGCATAAGGCAATGGATCGCTCCATCGTGGGGTTCTCCTTCACACAGCTATTTACAAGGTAATTTTGATAATCAGAGAACTGGAGGAAGAAAAACAACAATCAGGCTTGACATCTACTAATCCAAATATTATATTTGAGCAGAGACTATTCCTATCCTTATTAAATTCTAAAAAAAAAAACAGTATAGGAGAAAAGTCTCATTACTGGTTCAGTTCTGCTGCTAAGATTAAAAAACATAATTCCCCTCATAAAAAAAATCATTTTCTCCACAGCTGTTACCCTAAACATGTGGTAATAAAATCTGCCCTATTTAGAACATGGAATTGTTATAAAGATTGAGCAAGTTAATGTGTTTTCACACTTTGGTTTTTCAAAGTGCCACATAATTGTGAGGTGGTGCTAATGGGATAATTATTTCTTCATGCTCAAACACGCCTCTCAGATTTCTTTCTATGCACAAACTTGAGCAGAGGCCAAGTAAGAGGGGCACACGGAACTTGGTTAGCTATGCGTTCAGTGACCACGGTTTGCCATCTGATGGTGGCACTGGCTATGGTTAACAATGAAACAGCACATATGAAACTACAAATGTCCTGGCAGATCTGGCATGGGGGATGATTGCAGGTTGTCCCTGTCACAAGAATTCCTCTCTGCACAAACAGTATGGCCAAGAGGGAGAGACAAGCTGTTGTCTTCCCATGTTCCCGTGGGAGGCTTTGGTGCTGTGCCCAGTCTGAACGCTTTCTTGTGAAAGTAGGTGTGATCGTGTGACATAACCAGCCAGCAAAAAGTGTGGTAGTGATGTGACTTTGGAGGGGAACACTTGAGAGACAAATGGATGATCGCCACACTACCATTCCATTGCTGCAGAGATCGTGGGAATTTCTAACAAGATGAGGTCTGTATCACCTGGGTCCTGGGCCACTCTAAACCATGTTAACCATGTATTAGAAGTGATAAATAATCTTTCACTTTGAGTCACTGAGACCATGGGTGGGTGTGTAGATGGTGTTACTGCAGTACACCATGGTCTTGCCTCTGTAACAAACAGGCTGGTGAGAATTCCCAGCTGGAATAAAAAAATTGCATGTTAACAAAACCATTTTACTGTGCTGTGATTTCTGATAGGTGGAAAAATCTGAGTTGGACCAAAACCACTCCTTAAGAGATGTAAAAAGCATAACTCTTCCTGATTCTAAAAGATAGTTGATATGACTCATTCCAATGAATACATTTTATAAGCTCTCCCATGTACCCACTATTTTTTTTTAAAGAATTATGCCCTTTAGGATCTCTTTATAAGAAAAGGAAGATATCAAATGCCTTTCAGTTCACAGCAGAGATAAATTTAATTCCAATCTTATGTTGGAAAGAAAATTGGGAAAAATGTTTAGAACTGTATGGGAAAAAAGAGAAAGTCCCCGGAATAGTCTTCTAAGCAGGGACAGTGCCACTCTGAAGAAATAAAGGTCCGAACGTTTTTTTATCTGCAAGTGGAACACTGCTCAGCCCCTGCAGAGACTGGCTCTGATTGCTTGCTTGGCGCTGATTTTTCATTTCTGCCTCCACTGATCCGAACACTGGCATCAAACACACATCCCGCAGGCCTTGGCCCTGCCAGCTTCTCTCCAGCAGAGCTTAGATGTCCAGTGTGATAAGTGTCCCCTGCAGTGGCTTTCAGCTTTCATTTGTGTCCCGCCTGCCCCATGATAGGGAAGGCTCTGCCAAAAACAAACTTCCCAGTGCAGAGTCAGTAGGTCCTGGGTTTCTGCTGGAGCTACAACAACGTTATGGGCGAAAGTATGAAATCACCTCTGTAACCTAGTTTGCAGGTCTCCTTTCAGATACAACTAGGCTCAATAAATTGGTGCTGAGAGGCATGTGGTCCTCGCGCCAGCCTGGATTCTCATAAGTTGGTCTGACCTTGCTCTCATCAGCTCTCTGGGCTCCCATTCCTTTGCCTAGGTACATGGATTATTCCAAGCAAGGTACTCAGCAACTTTGCTGTTTGTATTTTAGAGCAAAGCCAAAGATTATACCTGTGGGTAGGGATAGAGCTTGCAAGGAACGAGAGTGTCATTGTCAGGGAGGCATCCTGGTCAGTGCGGAGTCCACTGGTATCTCATGCCACTGTTCCCTGGTATCACATGTGGAATTTGAGGATTATGGTGAGGATGGGTATGCTCTCTCCTTTTTGATGATAAATCAAAATCCCTCTCCTTCATCCCTCTCCACTCTAGTCCAGGCTCTGCCTGGCTGCCTCAACAGCAAGGATTAGGTCAGCACAACTTCTGTCTAAAAGTGTGGTAACTGCCGGCTAGCTCTATACCACTGTAGGGTTTAAGGTATGTCTTGGAGTAACCTGTAGCGTTATTGTGGGATTTTCCAGCACCATTGAACGTTTACCCTAGAATTCACTCTTAGAGAACATATCTCTGTTTTTTTGAGGAAGAGGAATATTTTTTTTCTGGAAGAATAATGATATCAGGGATAAAGAATGGGTTTGCACCTATATGTGCTTGTGTGCAGGATGTCTTGGGAGTCCCCCGCACTTTAACCTGAGTGAGAGGTGGGGCACAGATGGGGTGAGAGAAGGGAAGGCAAGCAGGGGAACCCAAAGGGTTCAGATGGTACCCATATTCCTACCATGCTATCTGCTGAGCGGATGTCACAACATTGATGGGCCCTCAAGTGTTACGAGATACACAGGTATTAAAATTCATTGCTTATTTTCAGAAATCTCCCAGAATAAGTCTTCTGCCCCTTGGTACGTACAGAGATCCTTCGAAAGGACTTGAACTCCAGGTAGGTGAGATGCTCAGATAGCTCTTCTGGTTCCAGATGGTCAAAGAGCAGGGAGACTTTTCGTTTCTTGCTGGTGTTTGATTTTATCCTTTGAGTAAGTTTTCTGGACCAGTCACGAGCATTACTTTTGTATGTACATGTGAAAAGGAGAAGAAAAGCAAAAAGAATTGCAATTGCTTTTTGCAACTAAAGTCATTGGCGTTGGCCACAAAATAGACAAAGCACCGTTAGCTACCTCTCCTTGGCCAACATGATGCATTTTCCCAAATCAGGTTTCTATGGCAGGAACCAGGAAGTTTTGCTGCTTTCTAGCAAGCCTTTAGAACACATCACAGGGCACAGGGAGAGTTGCCACCAAGGCAGTAGGAAGGGAAGAGTTCAGCCTTGGTCACAGTTTCCTTATTCCCTGATCTAGCCCCTGGTGTTTCTGCTCTCTCTAGGGCTCCTAAGGTGGCTTCATGCTCCTGAGGTGACAGAACTGTCTGGTGGGAGCTGGGCAGTTTTCATGAAGGGGTCAGAGCATCATAGGGAAAAAGACATTGGGTGAAAGGAACAACATGTAAGAACATGTAGTCATTCTGGGTAAAGTGGTGTTATTTCCTTAGATGTCCCCAGCCACTGAAATGACCAAGGAATCTTAACTGACCCTAGAGCATCCCCTTCTTTGTATTTCCTTATAATCAACTGATGTGTTTTTCAGTTTCAATTTCTAACACTAAGCGAGCAAAGGAAAGCATGTGTGCAGGATGTCTTGGGACATCTCTAGTTTTGGAAGGCAGCAGCTTCAAGATCTGTGAGACAGTGTTTTTGGATACCCTGCCTCTCAATAAAAGGGCCCAATGATCAAATTGAGCTTGAGAAATACTACAAATTCTATACTTCTCAGCCAATGAGTATGTTAATTTCTGAAATGAAATGCAAAAGGAGAGTTTCCCATTATTCCCCAAATACAGCTGGTCATAGACTAATTCCTAAAAGATATACTGGAGAAACAACTGGCTGAGAAAAGGCAGGCAGGAAACCCTGGACAGGATATGTAGGTGTGAGAATTGTCCTAGGCTATTTTTATCTTTAAAATGGAAAAACAGAAACAAAATGTTACTTAGAAAAACTTCTTTTCTCTTTCTAGTTTTATAATACTTAGCAGAGAAGTACAGAGAATCCAGACTGATGAGATTTATTTGGGGCTCTGAAATACGATTTTGCAATCATTTCCATGTGGTTGATAACCTAGCTCTTCTGTGCCACTAGTTTGCTTGACCATGATCCTGACCAGTCACAGTTCCCCACTCAGAAAATCAGGACTTTGTATGAGCTGACTGCTAGACTATGTTCCATTTCTAGAATTCTATAACTTAAGAGATTTGCCCTACTGCAAAATAATGTGGCTATATTATCAAAACCACAGCATACAATGCATATGTTACATTTTCCAAAAAGACTAACTTTCCATAGTGAGCCAATAACATGAGTAAGAAATGCAAAGAATAATTTGAAGTTTCCTGAGATCTCTTCTCAGTCCTAGACGTCTAACTGCCTTTCTCAGGTGTTATAAACTCTCTGCTTAGTGCGTTTGCAGCACTTTTGTAAGTTTAGGGCTGTCTTCTGCACCAATTTCTGAAGGAGCAGCATCTCATTGCCAGAATTCTCTGTTTCTCATCATCTGGATACATCATAGACAAGGTCCTGCTACCTGATTTCCTGACTTAGATTTATATTCTCTGCTTTTGGCCACAAGTCACGTACAGCTGCCATTGGAGGTTTCTCAGCTTCCTATTAAATGTCAAGAACCTGCTCTGATGAGACAACCCAGACCTGCTGTCTGATGGGATCCTTAGCATGGTAAAGGAGTCAGACCCCAGGAGGGCAGCCAGGACCACAGAAGGGAACTGGCTCCAAGAGATGAGCCCAAACCATGGGACTCACATTTGAGTTGTATCGATCAGGCGGCAGTGGGCCTCCTCCCCATTGGCTTTCACCAGTTCCTGGAACTCCTCCATAGTGTTTGTCAAGCTGGCATCCATTTTAAACATGATCCAGAATTCTGTTATCCAGTACCTACAAGGAGGGAATTTAAAGCTCACAGTCCAGTGCCGAAAACGGGTGGGCCCACACAGGAATTCGCAGCTGTGAAGAGGACTCTGAAAAAGACAGAGGCTAATCTACCTTACTGTGAAGGAGCTGAGGATGGGAGCAGAGAGGGAAGGTGAGCCTCTAGTGACAGTCTTCAGTGTCACCACACACAAAATGCTCTGATGAGACAAGGTGTATGCTGATTAAAGGAGACACCATTGTGTGCGGCAGGGTTAGGTACAAAGGAGAGAACGGCAGACAAACCGAATGTCCAAAACAATGGGGCAATGAACCTAGAAAGTATGCTTTTATGGATGCTTTGGTCACATGTCAGAATACTGTATCATCATAAAAAACATTTACAAAAAGTCTTTAAGAACTAGAGAACATAGTTAAATGTTCTTTATAGAATATAAAACTATATTATATCAACTACACTGAAAAATTCATGTAGAGAAAAAGGAAATATACCAAAATAGGTAGCTGGATGTGAATGATTTATAATATTTTTTGAATTTTAAAAACGTGTAATGAGCTATATTACCTTTATAATTAGGAATAAAAATAAATGCCTATATCTCTCCCTTATGGCGTTTGACACTAAAACGCTGTAAAACTGAAAAAAAAACACTGGGATAAATTATTGGCTCAGGTACGCCAGGAGAAACTCACAGGCTTCCGTGGAGGACTTGGCAAGACTGATGCTTGCCCTTTTGGGGTGTGCAGAGGTGTACGGGTCTACGCGTATGAGGGGAAAGGCAGGGAGGATCAAAAGAAAGACCTAGAGTCCCTTCACCCCAACCCAATCTCCAAGTGCAAGCAGAAACGTTACCTTACAAAATAGCAGATCTTCAGACAAATCCCAGGTGAATTCTTTGCCAAGGCACCTTTATAGGTAGGGCTGCGGTTAAGGGAAACAGAAGCCTGTCACAGACACCAAGAAACTTCCATCTTTGGAAGTATCTGCTCAGACAGCGCCCTGAAATGAGGAATCAGTGACCTCATGCCTGAGTCCCAGAGACTACAAGTCCAATTGAGTCAGCAAGCTAAAAAGGACAGCCTCTTTTATCTTTTAAAATGTTTCTAGTAACGGATTTATGCAAGAATAATATGCAGAGCGAATTACAAGATGAAGAATTATACATTCAAGTGTAATAACTCGTCAGGATAATTAAGAACAGTAATGTGAAAGTTACAATGCATGTTGCCAGAGGATGTCAGTACAATGACCTTGAAAGTTACGATGCCAACTCAGACAAAGCCATGGGCATGATCCAGAGGGCACTGGAGGTTACCTTAAGTGTTCTCATCATCCTAAATATTCCAAGAACAGAGAAGAATAGAAAAATGTTGTGAAATTCACATGTCTTTAGGGAAAGGATATTCATTTATTTTAAGAGTTGAAGAAATGAGTTCAATCCAGTGATGAACCTGCATGGGTCTCACCACCTTCTTTCCATCAAGAGACTGAGGAACAGCCAATGTGACAGTGTGCCCCGCAAGGCCAGCCCTATTCTCCCTAAAATCTGTGACATAACAACTGCAACATAGGGTTCAGTGAATTCTAGTTGAGTTAATGAGAGGAACCCAATAAGCAAAAGTCACAATTCACTGGGGTAGGAGAGGTCTTCCTTCAGTGGGTACGTGTGTCTCGATCCTTGGAAAATTTAGAGTTAAATATAGAAAGGTAAAAGGCAGTAAAAAAAAGTGTTCTAATATTTATTTGGAAGTCATCCATGCATTCTGAAACTCTGTATGCCTGCATCATTTAAAAGCATGTTAGAGGCCAGGGTTTAGCTTAGCGGCATAAGTCCGCATAAGTGCCTGCTTGGCAAACACAAGGTTGTGAATTAGAACCCCAGCACCAGTAAATAAATAAATGAAAGCATGTTAGAATACTAGCCTTTATACTTCAATTTAGAATGTATAATTAAGTGCTTTGGAGTTGTGGTTTTATTTTGAAACCTAATTTTATAGACAGCTTGGGAACATTTGAGGTGTTACCTTTATTGTTTATAATATTAGTCCAGCTACAAAAACTACTGAGAATTTAGGGAGGCATCTGAAGCATTAAAAAAAAACCCTAAAACATAAAATACATAACTAGTTTAAAATCACTAGAAGTATTTGATTAACAACATTCAAGTTAACCAAACATTTTCCAATGTCCCTTAAAACTACTTGCTGAAACACGCTAGACATATACAAAGAATAAGATTTATATGCCGAACTTGAAAAACTATAGAACGATGGTTGTGAAATTTGTAACGTTAGTGACTCCTAATTTTAAAAATTAAATGTGGACAAACGTACTGCCAATAAAATCTGTCCTTGATATTTGAACACCAAAATAAAATTAAAAAATCACAAAACCTCATATATCAACAAAGGTAATAAAAATCAAACTAAGCTCTAGCACCTGGCCCACTCCATGAAGCAAAAGGTTCTGATGCCCGCCTCTCCCCAGGTGCAAGAGACCTTTCCATTTCTCCGTGCCACATCACTATGAAAACCTAGCACCTCTGAGCACAGACTCAGGCACGTCACCGTCACCGTCCGCATAAAACACTTCTCATAAAACACTTCTCTTCAAACATGTGCCGGAGCGCTAGGAGCTGTGGTGCAGGCCCCTGTGTGAATCTCTCCTGCCTACCTGAGCCCTGGGACTGGGGCCTCTCAAATGCCAGCCTCTGGAGGTCCTGAGAGCCTGAGGTCATGAAAAAGGCAGCCCCCCAAAGGCCCCTCTTTCTCACTTGGGGAAAGGAACAAACACCCAGCTGAACAGGCTGAGTCATCGAGGCTCAGGTGTCAGTGAATTTGCTGGAAGCCTCAGCCTCAAACACCTCTTCTTCTCTGCAGAGCCAGTACTGTGGCAGGCAGGAGGGCACAGCGCTGACCGCTTTTCAGGCCCCTATACCATGCAAAACATGTTTATAAAAAATCGGCCCCCCCCAAAGGAAAACAGGAAACCATCTGAGCCTATGCCTGTTTAACTAAAAATTCTATCACTTTCACTTCAGAGAACCCGGCAATCAGCTTGGCATGGTGGAGCACGCGTGTAATCCCAGCACTCTGGGAGGCAGGGTAGGAGGATCTCAAGTTTGAGCCTCTTACACACTTAGATGCTGTCTCAAAGTCAAAAAGGGCTAAGGACATAGCTGAATGCAAAGAGCCTGAGTTCAAGCGCCTGTACCATACATACAAAACCAAAACGAAAAACAAAAAGGGAACCAAGTGTGGAAAAAAAAATCATTTTCCTTTCAATGCTTAACCTGGCTCTCCATAACAAGGAATTTTTAAAAATTTCATAATCTCTTCTTAGAACTCTTTTCCCTATTTTAGGCTGAATCTTAACTTAGCGAAAGCCAGATATCTGGCTTTTGGCAAAATTTTGGCAAATACAAAAAAAGTATCTAATGTTTCTTACCCATAATAATCCAACATTTATTGCACCCTACCATGGTTCACTAAATTAAGAAAAATAAAAATCAATAAGCCTTGGGCTCTGTCCTGGAGGGGCAGTCTATTGGAGAAAATGACATGCAAATTGATAGTATATATTTTTTAAAAACATTTATTTTTTTTTCTTAATTTGTAATTTAATTTGTCATACTTTGCAAGTTATCATTAGCAAAATTCAGCAGTTAGATACAAGGTTCTGTACAGTACAGAAAGTACGTGAAATAGCCACATACAACATGTATATATTACAGTATAATGTATATGTTGTTATGGATATTATTATAGCATTATGGATAATATTGTAGTATTATGTATGTATAGTATCATGTGTATATTACAGTACTGCAAAACTTACAGACTCAAATTCAGTTAGCTAAACTAATTAACACCCTAAAAACACTTCACACTTTCTGCAGTCATAGGCAACAAGCTTTGCAAGTCAGAATAATCCAGGTGAGAAAGAGAGAGGAAGGTGAGAGGGAGGAGGAGAGAGAGGCTTAAATCTAAAGGGAAAGAAATCAAATAGATTTCGCATCACCAGAAGACTATCCTAAAACACTAGACATATTTCTGAAGCCAAAGGAGGGGAGGAAGGTCAGGGGTCCTGAGAGGAAATGTTTACCAGGACAGAGGAGGGGCTCTGGCAGCAGCCCCTTACATCTGAGTACCCAGAGGTTACTGGGGAAGGATTCTGGGAGAAGTGCAGGCGGGGCTGGGCTGCCAGTGCTTTGGCCAGCAAGCTGAGGAGGACTTATGAGCCCAACAGTTGGGAGAGATTCTAAAGCGACCACCTACTGAGCTGATTTTAAGGAAAGAATGGTGATGCAAACAATAAACAACAGGGGGACCAAACAAAGGAGAGGACCAGTAGAGGGTAGAGGTCTGGGAGAGACAGGGAGGCTCATGCTTAGATGGCAGCACAGGAGCAGAGAGAGACCAGAGAAAAGTCAATTCTGAAACAGAAAGCCTAGGATTGGGTGGCAGTTGCAGGGTGTGAAGGCCAAGGAGGAGCAAGAGTGCTTCTGACATTTCTGGTTTAGGTAACTGGTAATGACGCCACATCTGAAATTGAAAATGAAAATGCAGGTGTCAGACCAGAACTAATGTGGCCGAGGTTGGGGTGAGCTTGTGAACAGACTAAGGTATTTCAACAAGCTATGGCTGACGTGTCGGCAGGAAATACTAGTCCAGATCTTCAACATGCGGTTTAGGGTAGAGAAACATCTGCTTGAAAATGAGCAGCACAGAAGGGCAGTGGTGGATGTCCAGGACAAAAGCACCTTCAAAAGTCAGCCAGCTGAGAGGGAGACTAGGATGCCACCCCGAATTCAAGAGTAGCTCAGGCAAGAGGCCAGCCAAGAGACAAGGTGCCCGGCACAGAGCTACATGGACAGGCAAAGGCTATCTGGTGGTCACTGTCCACAAGGATGGGAACAGAACAGCACTGAGACCGGCCATCCACTGGTGGCCTCAGAGGAAAGTCTGAGCGCCTTGAGGAGGAGACACCGTTGAGTTAAGCGGCAGGAGTAAAGAGATTGGAGACAGTGACTGCGAACTATTTTAAGATGTTTCTGCATCAAATTTCTAACCCTAGCAATGGAATGAAGGGAAAGTGGGGTAATGAGATTTGTCTCAGTTTGGGGACACTTGAGTGTGCTGTGGCAGAGCATCAGGTGCAGTGAGAGTGTTCGGGAGTCTGGGAGACACAGAGGTAACTTGCAGAGAATGCGTCTGAGAAGCGGATGGAATGTGCGCAGGACAGAGGGGCCACTGTGCAGCAGTACAGCGGGGCAGCTCCCAGGGACAGTTCAGTCCCGAGGCTAACACATTTTCAGGGAGGAACATCTGGTCACCCACACCGCAGTCACCGGTACACGGAGTTGATGAGAAGCAGACAGCCTGTGAGTTGCTGCTGCCAGGTTTTAAAATTCTCTGCAGGCGAGGTAAGTGCATGTTCTTTGTGCCTGCCATCCAGCGGACGTCTCTCTATGCCCCACCTAATGCAGCCACCAGAACCACTATTTTGGAGGTGGGAGGTGAGACTTATGAGGGCTTAGGGAAGAGACTCATGCCTGACGGACTTCTTTTTCTTCACATTTAGTATTTAGATTTTCTGAGGGCCATAAAATGAGCTGGGAGGAGTTAGCAGAATGGTAAAGGATTAGTGCACCCACAAATCATGACTCAGACCCCGGACACGTGCCCCAGTTGCTAAACGGTCTCACCTCCTCTATGGGCCTTTTCTCTCCAGGGCCACAGCTACAGTGTCAGTAGTGAGAAAAGAAAAGCAGGCACCTCCTCCCCTCTCCCCAGTTCACACCCACAAGAAGGGAAGGACCCAGAGGGCTTGTTCTGGGCATCATCAGTGCCTTTGCCTGCAGGAAGGCCCCAGCAGATGTTCCAGGATGCTGTAGCCATAGGAAGCTTTCTCTAGAGCCTGGGGAGGGCTGAAGAGTTGGGAAGGAAAGCCAGGCAGAAAGGAAGGCCATCACTAGAGTCCTGCTGGTATCCCTGGTCAGTAGGTACAGGCTGACTAAGATCCTGACTACTCAAAAGGAAACAGCTTTTACCAGACAGACATACTGTAGGCAACTTCTTTGAGCATCCTGGTAGCATTACTGCCCCATGCAAAAGAAGATGCACATATGAATACACACACACACACACACACACACACACACACACACACACACACACAATCCTGAAAAGATATATGGACTTATTTACCACTCAGGGTTATTCCCAATCAGTCAACACAAAGCATACGTCAAACATCAAGCTAGACTTTGCACAAGTCCCATTTTGGGATTCCAGTCATAGTATGCAAGGATATAGGGTCATAACTTTTTGGAGCAGTTCTGCAGAGGAGATGATGATTCGGTGCATGGTCAGCATGACTTGCAGCAGCTGGTTACTTCGACAGAGGTTTCCATCTGCATCTGAAAATACAAAGAGCAACATCTGAGTGCCACTCCGTACCTCAGCAGGCACCTGGGAACACCTGACACCCTTCACTACGAGGTGAGTGGCACCTAGGGGGACAGTGCTTTCTTTTCGTTGCCCAGAACTTCGCCCTCTCTGTCCTGCCTTTCCTTATTTTCTTGCTATACTTTGCCCTGTCAAATGTCCACTTTGATATTTATTAATCATGCTGATCCAAAGGTATGAGAAATCTGCATAGAGATACTTGTGTCTCTGTAAAGCAGAAGCAGATCCAGTTTTTTTTTTTTTTTTTTTTTTTTTTTGTCTTTTTCCTTTTTATCGGTACCGGGGATTGAACTCACGACTGCCTGCTTGCATGGCAAGCACTTATGCTGCTGAGCTAAATCTCCAGCCCCCAGCAGATCCAGTTTTAATGGACCTAAAATTACACATAATGGGAGTGATGTGTATAGAGACAGGATGAGAAAAGTTACTGCACCGATTCATTGCAGTTAAAACATTATTGCTTTCAAAAATTTTACAAAAATATATGACCAGACGAACACATTTCTAAGGCTGTCCCATAGCCCTGGAAGGGGCCATGGAAGCAGTTTATGCACGTGAGAGGCCCTAGTTGTATGGTTAACATATGGAAACAAGATGAGAAACAGACACTACATCTGAAAGCTATCAGTAGAGTGTAAGTATCCATGATGATTTTCATCTAAGAGCCTGGTTAGCTGGGTTTCCAAATGCCTACTCCAAAATAACAAGATGTATTCTATACATGGGCATTAGGTATGAAACTTCTGCTTGGAGTGCTTTTCAAAGCCTTTCAATATTCACAGCATGAAGCGTCAGGGGATGTGCTGGCTATTCACTGCCAGATCTGTGCACTAGGCTTCGCCATGGGTCACGTCACCTTGGCTTCCCTGCCAGCTGGCTTCTGGTTAGGTTCAGCCTTTGGGAAACAGCACAAGAGATGGATGGAGAGGGCGGTTAGGGTACTGCTTACCCCCTCTCTCTGCATGGACAGTTCCTGCAGAGTGGCTACCTGTCTCTTCACTGAAGGATCACACCGGCTGGCTCTGCCTTGCTGACCAGAGCTCTCACTGAGACCTCGTAGTGTTACAATAGCCTTTGACACTCAGGTCCAAAGGATGGTGACAACTTTTGGAACATCTTGATTCCACTCTCCTCCCTTTAAGTAGTCCCTTCCCTAAGCTGTCTTCATTTATAGAAACAGACTAAATTTCATTCCAGGATGAACACCCGTGATTTGGAGGAAAGTATCAAATGAAAGAGTAGACATTCAACATTTGTCATCTGCTTTGCTCTTTAGAGAATATTATAGAAAGGAGGTTATCACTTCCAGTATGTTTCAAGACGTTTGGGCTCAGAGGTCTTGACTCCTAAAATGAGCTAAAGTCAGCTTACTGAGAAAATTCAAGAAAGCTGACCATATTTCCCCTTCCCCTCACCAATCCACTACCTGGCGCTGGACTGCCAGCGTCCACCCTTCCCTCTACTGTGAAAGGCAGGAAGGGCTGCCCGAGGCTGACACTCCTGCTGCGCTCCTGCTCTGCCCAAATACATGGCTGCACCTCTCCTGCAATATCAGCTTTTCTCTCTGCAGACTTAACTTGTACTGGTATTCATTCACTCGTTATTTATTTACTTATCTCATCTCTCTTTTAAAGTATGTTTATGATACAAAACAAATACATTCATCCAGTGGCATTTAAATATGCCCCCACACCTCCTACTTCAAACAAAATAAAATCAAACAGTGCTTAAACTCCCATCCGCTCTACGCTCTTCTGCATTTCTGTCTGCCTTCCCAGCAAAACCTGTCATCTCGCCTCCCATTTATTTCGCAACCATTCCATTTTCACTCTGTGTCCGTTATCCACTAAATCTTCTGTTTGCAAAGTTACCAGTCAGTGGGACACTGCTGAATTCAACAGTCTTTTTGTTTTGTTTCTCTGTCCTCCTCTTTCTTGGTGACTCAGTTGCTCTCCACCCAGCACAGCCTGGGCTGCCCATTCCCGTCCTGGAACACTTCCTCCTCTTGGCTTCTGCAGTGCAACGTGCTCTCGCTTTCTCTCAGCCTCTTCTGTCTCCTCTTCCTCTGCGAGGCTTTTAAATGTCAGCCTCCTCTGGAAGCTGAAGCCTCCCACTTATTTTTTCTAACAATTTTTAAAATTTTAAAACTGCTTCTACAACTTTTTGAATTTTAACTTGTTCTAGATGAACTCATCTATGTCTTCAACTAAAACACCGTCTCTGTGTTCATAGCACCCAGTGCTTATCTTCAGCACTGACCACCAAAGTTGGCATGTGTAGCAAAGGACCTGACAGCTCCACTCAGAGATCCAGTCATCTGAACAAAACCCTTGGCTTCTCCTTCCCAGACTCTCCCTCCTCCATTCCTTCTTGTCTCCAGACATGGCACCACTAACCCCCTTCTGAGTTACCCAGACAGAAAACCTACGAGTCATGCTTCATTTTTTTTCACTTTCACTCATATTCATTCCATCAGGAAATCTTAAATTTTTATTTCCAAAATGTATCTCAAGCCTTTTACTTCCCTCCGTCCTTGCAACATTCTAGGTACAGCCATGATGATGCTGTGCATGAATTTGACTTCTCAGTTTCCGTTCTTGTCTACTGATACTCCATTCTCCCCACAGCAGCAAGGGGTGAGCCATGAATCAGGTCCCGCAGTCAATACTTCTTAAAGGAAACGCTGTCTACCTGGTGTAAAACCCCTTTCTGTGGCCAGCAGAGGCACGCCTGTCCTGGGCTCTTTAAATACTGCCCACTTTGCTCTACACCAGGTTACTTCTGTCTATGCTTCTGCTGACACCTCAGACATGCCAGGTTTGTTCCTCCCTCCCATTTTCCCCATGACCGACTTCCAGGGTCTAGAACAGAGCTGGCACACAGTAAGTATTTGTTAAGCACGTGTTGACTGAATGAACGAATCGTATCAAATAGGAAACCCTTAACTTTTTATGTCTACTTGGAAATTGAGTTTGATTTTGTCATTAGCTATTTCATTAATGAGATATACATACTTACTTAATTTCTGACCATAGTTTTTAAAAGAAACTCCAAGTTGAAGTTTGGTAAAACCTTATACGAAAATTCATCTAGCTGTGGTTAATAGTTCTGCAAATGTCTCTGTAATTCTACTGAACCTATACTCCAATGATGCAGGGTTAGTATTACTATTTTCTGTATTTACTGGCCCACATAATTTCTGTAATAATTATATCTTGCCACAGATGATAACAAACCATGCCAAAATTCAGTGACTTAAATCAGTAATCATTTATTTTTGCTTAAATATTTGGGCATGAGAGGAGGGACAGCAGATAGAAGCTTGGCTTTGCCAGGGGCCCTATCCAAAATGCCTCAGCTTCCCCATACCAGTAGGCTGCTGGTAGTAGGTGCTTCTCATGCCAATGACAGGGCACTGTAGAGTAGCTGGAAGTCTGCAATACGTCTTAGCCTAGCATGGCTTGCTGACATTCCACCTCACTGTCGGTCAAAAGAAGTCACAAGGTTGAAGCTAAACTCAAAGGGTAGGAACTTCAAAGTCGCATGGGAAAACATCAGAAACAGAGAAGATAAAAATTTTGCAGTGCTAATGCAATCAAACACACCACAGATACCACAGCAGGAGTATTTATATTCCTGAGTACTATGGTGAAAATCAGGAGAAATCAACTTGTAGAGTTTACATCAGAATGTTCACATGAGCCAGGGATGACACAGGTCCAGGCTCATTCAGTATGGACGGCACCAAGACTTGCCTTCTGCTTGTCATTTTATGGAAGGCTGGCATGTTTCCACGGATGCTTAGACATGAGAGGCAGAAGTATCCTCAGAGAAAATACCTGTCTTTGAATATTGGAGCCAGTAGTTGCTACAGGGAAGCAAAAGGCAGCACCAAAGCAGACAGAAGGTTTAGAATAGGATCAGGCATAAAATGTGGCAGGAGATATCAGGCATTAAGACAGCCCGGAGCTTTCTCATCACTGAGGTATTCAAGAGAAGGCTCGGGTGAGACTTAAATGAACTGACATAGCAATGCCCATTTATGGAAATCCTACTGAATACCTGTGCTAGGCACTTTCACAATGTTATCTCCAGGTCTCGGAACAGCCCTGCAATATCTGCAGTGTCCACAATTTACAACAAAGAAATTAAAGCATAAAGAATTTGTATAATTTGTTCTAGGTCAAAAAGACAATGGGTAGAGGGCTAGGAGCTGGCCCCTGCTTGCTTAACTCCAGGCTTTCGCTCATTCCCCTGGCTGTGTGCTACACGGCCATCGATCAGAACAGAGGTGACCACTGCAGGTGAGCTTTAAAGAACTCTTGCAGTCCTCACAGTCATGGGTCCAAGAGAATCCTCTAGGATAGTGGGCTGGAGATATGAAGACAGAACACGTTTGGCAGATGGCTTTTGAATGCTAGTCATTTCTCAAAAACTCTTCTAGGCCTTTAATGCTTTATCCTGGATTGTGAAGGTTGCCTTTAAGCACCTAGGGTGCCATGCCTCACACTCATAATCACATTCACGCTTCAGTTTTATCTTGCACCTCTTGTGCCACCCAGCCGTAATGCCTTCCCCATGCTGCGGTGCCTGCACCTGAGTTTGCTGTTGAGTCCGCACATGGTCTCCGTGGAGGTGAGTGCTGGTGAATGTTAAGAGCAGAGGGGATGACTCACACCACAGGGACAGCCAGAGGCAAGAGAAAGGGCAGAAACAATAAAAACACTCCACCTACCCTTAGTCAGGAGCTCTATTTCCTCCCTGCGCCTGCTTCCCATTTTTTGGAGGAGAGCACAGCTCGCTGTAGTCACCTGCCCTCACTGCCACCATCCCTTCCCCACATGACCCTCAGTCACTATGTGACCCCATCAAGGACACATCCCTTCATCTGCACATTCTCTTTTCCAGAGAAACAGCCTCCTTTTGCAAGACACACTTCCAAAGTAGGTGT